TGTTATGAAAGATGATTTCCACACCTTTGGGACAGAACAAGAGGACAAGGAATTCTTAAAAATTATAGAAATAGGTTGGGCAAGGGATGATGCACAGTGCACAAAAAGTTTTGGAGAAATGTTATCCGGTCCTGGGGCCTTGGATGTATCCAGCTTTCGAATTAAGTCACCAACGTAGTCAACGTTTATTGTAATTTTACATAGGTCGGAAGTAGAGAGAGAATTATATTCGGTACTTACGGATATAACTTCACTCTCCACTAGTTCATCAATATCATCAGTATGTGATGCCAACTGAGGTGTGCTGTTGGCTACTAAATCCACAGTGTGTGACAAAGAAGGGATAATTAAGATAATTAACCGTATGTCAGAATCCTCTCAAGTACTGCATCATCCAGCAGATGGCAGCGCTGTAAGCTCGTACCTGATCCGACAATCGTTGTGCTGATACGTTGACAGCTGGTTCAAGCTCCTGAAACAAAGAGACTAGTCGAACACGGTGCGCAGTAAGGTTCGTTCCCACCTCTGTAGCCCGATAATATGCCTGCATGACATTCTCATTGATACACTTTGTCCACTTCATGCGGCGCACTTCACCACCGGTAGCGGGGACCCTGTTCGAGGTCAGTAGTCCTCGGGATCCCAAGCTGGTCGGTGGCCGGCCTCTTCCCTGCCGACGTACAGGTGTTGGCGCCGTCGGCGGAGAGAAAAACTCGTCGCTTGAAGTCGAGCTCGATGCCTCAGCCACGGCCGGAACTTCTGTTGTAGCTTCCGGGGACGGCAAGACGGATCGGAGTGACGAGTCCGGGGATGTTATCAGTGCTCTGGATCTAGCTCGTGTTAACATTTTTCAGTCGAATTTCTTTCATGATAAATATTTATTTGTATTTTGACATGACGTTAAACGTCATGCCTTACTATCAATGTTTATACTGCTGACCCGGCAAACGTTGTTTTGCCATATAATCTATTTCTAGAAAAAAATTAAAAAAATATTTAGGGCCGAGTCACCCTTGTCATTTAGGGATATGAAAAATAGATGTTGGCCGATTCACAAACCTTTTCGGAGCCTTCAGCCGTTTCGGAGGAGTATGGGAACTAACATTGTGACACGAGGATTTTGTATATAAGATTTGCTTTATTTATTTTAAACGTTTCTTATATTTTTATAAAAGGATCCATTTCATTATAGTTTCATTGCTTTTAATTGTTGTGCGGTATTGTAAATGTATGGAAAACTTGTTTATTTCGAAAATGTGATGTAATTCATGAAGGGAAACGAGTCCGACTGATGTAAGTGTTGCTAGTTATTACTATTATTAACAGTAAATCTAGTGATTATTTTACATAGCTACCTTTTCTTACATAATAATAAACAAATACTAGATTTACGATTTAGTATTGTTAAATAACGTCTAACCTACCTATAAGTAGCGGCACGAAACTCTAGCGGTGACAGTTACTGCGCAGAAGTCAAAAATCAGGTACTTTTTGGGGTAAGAGGGACGAAGGGCGGGCGTGCGTAGCGCCGATTGGCTCTCCAGTCGCATTACGTCCCCCGCACTGATACGACACGCCGCGTGCTTCCAGAGTACAGTCGCGTTCTGAGTTATATTGTTATCGCTGTTAATTTTTGTTGCAATAAATACAATACTCATTTAAAGACAATGCAGGTTGCAGCTGGGAACAGAAGACATAAAAAAAGCGTTTTAAAATTATTTAACGTTACAGTCGTATGTTGTGGTAGGGAAAGGACTGCGTTGTGGTATTTAATGCGACAAATCAAGCATAATTGTTTAGATAATAAACTGCTAAGTTGAAAACTTTCACAAAGTGAATTGCATATAATTATAGTTCAACAAATTCTGTTTTAATTTTTCTACTTCCTATAAAGTTGTTAAAAATCCTGGGTAACATAATTCATTATATAACATTCTATATATAACATTCATATCATATGTTACTTCTAAAACCTCCAAGAATATGTGTACAAAGTTTCATGATGATCGGTTAAGTAGTTTTCACGTGAAAGCGTAACAAACAAACTTACATTCACATTTATAATGTTATATAGTATGATTACTTACTTACCTTTTGTACCTATTGTTGAGAAAATAAAGAAATTCAAATTTGACGACTCTGGCACGTGAACAACTTTCAGAAGTTACACTCTATAACATTAACTATTTACTAAAGTTAATATTTGCGTGCGCGATAGTACCCATGCGCGGCTATCCCTTCCACGTTCCGCTCAGCGCTAGACTTACGTGCCGCTAGTTATACCTAGCAACCCTAACCTAAGTTCGCAAAAATCGAATGATAAATCACAGTTCACTGTGATTTTGTCCCATGTCTATTAGTTAAACAAATAAATACAAAGCAAACGCTAATATTACTGGTAATTCTACTTACCGTATACAACTCGAACGAATCAACTGTGCACTCCGCTGGAATGCGACCCCTCTCCCGCTTCCCCGCGCGGCGCCCGCATTCGCCGTAAGCGCTCAGTAGCGACAGCATCTTTGTTACCGTTGCGCGTGGCTCGTTTTAATTGTCTAAATACGGTCAATCCCCTGTTGTTATTACTGTTTCTTTTGAGTTTTTGATTTGTTAAGTTTGTTTTTGTTTGGACATTTTCGACGCGTTGCACCAACATTATGGGCAAGACAATTCATAGTGAGGCAAGGACTCTTATATTAAAGGTGTTAAAATTCTTTGAAAATGAGAAAGCAAATAAACATTTTATAATGCCTGTAGACAAAGTTATAAAAAGAACTTGTGCAGCTACTGGTATATCAAAAAGAACTCTGATGAAAATTAAAAACGAAGCGAAGGTTGTACGACAAAATGATTCGCCTGTGCCTAGTACATCATCGGTGTCAGATTCAGGTCCAACACCTATACCAAAACTGTCTACACCAGGCAAAAAAAGAAGATCAAGCGCCAAAAAGATCGAACTGGACAATTTTGATCTATGCGCATTGCGAAACATTGTCAACAGTTTCTATACAGTTAGAAAAGAAGTACCAACTTTGAAAAAAATATTGGCGGCTGCAAAAAAGGACCTAAATTTTCGAGGTAAGCATTTAATTTGTGTTTTAACATGCTGTCTAGTTTTCAATCTACAGAAACAATTTTGAGTTACATAAGTAGGTATGATAATATGTAGAAAGAATACATAAAATTACCGACGCGCATTGGGCCAGCGTGGTCGACTATGGCCTGATCACCCTAAATTTAGGTGTTGATGTGATACGTGTAATACTTACATAAAACCTATTCTGTATCCTATGTCAAACTAAGTATCCAATTCGGTTTCAAGAACTTGTCTAAAATATTTATGAGGCTTATATATCAAAATAATAATATGACAATGAGTAATATATAAACCTAACGAACTTTATTTTATGTTTTCCAGGTGGAATAACCACATTGCGGCTGATACTTATAAACAATTTGGGTTATAAATTTAAAAAATGTAAAAATATGCGACATGTGTTAATGCAAAAGCCTGACATCGCCGCTTGGAGGGCTCGCTACCTGCGAAAGAAGAAAGAGAACAATGACCTCGGAGTGAACAAAAAACCGGTGACATACGTTGATGAAACATGGATTCATTCGCATTATACCGTGGCTAAATGTTGGCAAAACAGTAGCGACGCAAGTATTAAAAAAAATGACAATCCCGGACAACGATGGATTCTAGTCCACGCGGGCGGTGAAAATGGTTTCATTCCCGGAGCCGACCTTTTATACAAATGTAAGAGCAATACGGGAGACTACCATCATGAAATGGACACAAAAAATTTCACGAAATGGTTGAAAGAAAAACTTTTACCAAACTTGCCGCCACATGGCATTGTTGTCATTGATAACGCGCCTTATCATTCGACGCAATCTGAAAAGCCTCCCGTAAGCTCGTCACTCAAAAGCGATATGCAAAACTGGCTGCGAAGCAACAAGATAATTTATGATGAAAAAATGACAAAACGCGAATTGTATCATTTGATTATAATTAATAAGCCTCCAAAAAAATACATTGTGGACGAATTAATGAAAGAGCACGGCCATGAAGTTTTGCGTCTGCCACCATACCATTGCGATTTAAATCCAATAGAATATATATGGAATTTAGTTAAGCAAAGGGTGGCAGACAAAAACGTTACTCAATCTGAGAGAGAAATTGAAAATCTGACGAGGGAGGCTATAAAGTCCATTACAGTTGCTGACTGGAAGAAAGAAACGAACCACATTGAAAGGTTGGAAAAAGAGTATTGGTACAAAGATCATCTCCAAGAAATAGCAGAAAGAGAATTTATAATTTCCCTTGGAGGCGAAGAATCCAGCCCTGAAAGCGAAATTGATGATGACGAATCTGATACCATGTCGGGAGTTGAAGAAATTAATTATAGTAGCGAAAACGATTGATTAAAATAAATGTCTTTATACCTTATTTGGTTTTTTATTTTCAAATATGTCTTACTTTAAGCCTATTGTTCACGTAAACCGCATGTCATGCGTACGCTATCTCATTTGACGATTGCATGCATCTGAAATAAAATTGTGTCCACGGAGAAGCAGCGTCGCATTTACTTATTATTACATATAAAAATGATCTTAGACTATCAAAAATGTCCCCGCAATGAAAAATCTAGCGCCTTCATTTTTGTCGTCTCTTTATTGTCAAGCTGTAATATCATATCGGTCCATATGTATCAATTTAAGTGCAAAACCTCATGAGTAAAATGACGCCTTATCATCAAAACGACCTTTTATCAACATAAAAAAAATGGTAATTTATATTTTTTTAAACATGATTCTCATTTTTTATATTGCAAACGGTACCGTCCGAATGACGTCACAGAGCGAGGTGCACAGTTAATTCGCACGAGTTATATGATTATAATTATTTAATTATATCAATTATTTATTAAATTTTCGGTTTAAGGTAACGGGAATTGCCTGTTTTGTAGATCGCGGGATAATTATAAAACGTCGAAATGCCAAGAAAATCGGTTACCTTACATAAACTTTTAAATAAATGCTTAATGCAAAAACTGTCACAGGAATATTACGAAAATGAAGTTCACGTTGAATATCAATTACGAAATAATACACTGCGGGAAAATTTTGAAGACTTGGAAAATACACTTAAAAGCACAAATTTTAGAGACCGATCGAAGACGACATTAACCTCTCTTTGCTATCTCTTACTATTGTATTTAGAGTTAAAATCTGAAGGCCCTTGGAATACAGAACAAATTCAAGAAATGAAATATGCAGTTAAACTAAATCAAATATTCAAGAACAGACACAATATCAACCTGGAGGAAATATTACAAAGTGATGCATTTGACTGTCAAGCTATATTTGATAGGTGCATTCAAGAGTTGCATAAAAAGTTGACTGTAAATGATTTTAATAAATATCCAGGTCTTATTGAAGTTTACTGTTCACTAATAAATAATATTAAGGTAGGTAAATGTAAAACATTTACATCTTTAATTTTACAACAAGTAGGTTGGCATCAAGTTTAGTGATACAACCGATTTGCACTAAAACAAAACACATGTTATGTGCTGGATAAAACACACAGCATTAAATTGAAGAAGCTATCTGTGATATTTGATTAATTTATGAACCATCCACTTTTACTTATAGCTGTGTTTTATGCAGCACATAACATCCTTTTTGTTTTAATGCAAAACGGTTCTATTATGTGACTTTCTAAAACACACAGCGTTAAGGTGAAGATCTGTTCACCAGCAGGTGAGAAATAAAAACAAGGAACACAATCACTATGTGAATTATTGTTAATGCATTGGAAATTTACACAACTATACTCTGTATGTATGTAATTATTTGTCTTAAAGTTATAAGTATACACAGATATAACTCGTGCTTAGAATTACTGTCAAATTTAGTAAATACTAGCTGACCCGGCAAACATTGTATTGCAAAACAAAAAAAAAAGAAATGGGTCACCCTTACCATTTAGGGGTATGAAAAATAGATGTTGGCCGATTCTCAGACCTACCCGATGTGCACACAAAATTTCATGAGAATCAGTCAAGCCGTTTCGGAGGAGTACGGGAACGAACATTGTGACACGAGAATTTTATATATAAGATTAGGTAAAAAGCTAATCATGGAATGTGACAGCATTCTTTTCAACCTCTGTCTAATATTTCTTGTCATCAACACAGCGTTTTGATACAAGGGCTGATCAAATGCTTCCAGGTAACACACCTATAAAGGTTTTTTTGAAACATATTAATCCATCCAGCTATGATGCTTCTCGTAACAGGTCTAACTGACAGTTGTTTTGAATACCACATGATTTCCCTCATTTCATTCATTAAGGGCACAAAAAAAAACTCTAAAATTAGACTGTTGTAATAATAACCATCCAGGATCCTGGCAACTGCCAGTGTTAGTCTATAGCCAGTCTAATTCAAGAGGATGCTATCGAACACGAATCAGTTTTTTTTTTTAACTAGGAATTTTGTACCTACTCATCTTAGAGACAACATTAAGGCGTCGTCCTAATTGGCCACAATCGTACGATGGCGCGATGCGTTTTTTCGTCTCCGATCAAAGTGATCGTGCGATGATCCAACAGGTGTCCTAATAGATCGCACGATGTCACATCGTGCGATATCGTCGCGCTCAGAACGCCACTTTAACGATGGCTCTTTACAGAGATGCACAGTTTTTACTGTCGGGCAATATTGATTTGAAAATTGCAAATGACATTGAAAAAAGGAAACGTAGACCACATAATATACTTCATAGATCTAGGAAGATGCGCGGTGAATTTTTGAACCATTATTTTGATGTACGAAATAACGAAGAAGACTTTTACGATTATTTGTCCATGTCAAAAGAAACATTTGACTACATTTGCAACGGAATACGTAGAGATCTTTTGCTTTGGTTACAGGATCGCACGATCAAACTCATCGTACGATCGTTATTAAGCATTTTACGTGCTCGCACGATTACTTGCGAGGTTCAAATAGGACACTCTGATGAAATCTGTATGATTGAACTCATCGCACGACGAGAACGCATCGTGTCATCGTACGATCGTGGCCAATTAGGACGACGCCTAATGCAATTAATAGTTGCAAGTGCAAATAATTCCGTAACAACCTATTTATAGGTGCCTAAAATATTATATTTTAGTAGGAGGCACACTCGAACACCATTTCCGAGGTCCGGTCCCCAAGTTGGTTGGAGCAGCGCGTGCATTGGCGCGGCTGCTGCCCAACATGAGGGGACCTGATGACTCCTGCAGGACCCTCTCCTTGGGGGTTGTGCGGTCCATGGCCTTTTATGGGGCCCCTGTATGGGCGGAGACCCTGAAGGCCAGCAACGTCGCACTACTGCGACGACTGCAGCGAGTGCTGGCCATCATAGTCATAAGGGGGTACCGCACGATCTCCTTTGAGGCGGTGAGTCTCCTGGCCGGAACTCCGGAACACCGTGAGACCTGGAGGCGAGGGCCCTTGCGGCTCTGTATCAGTGCTGCAAGGAGGCGCGGGAGTTGGGTCGGTGTCCTGAGTCTCGAGAAATCGAGGATCAGAAATCCCAACTCCGCCAGGTCCTAGTGGAGGAGTGGAAGGAACGACTTGGGCAACTATCGCGGCGGTAAGACCCGTTATGGAGGATTGGCTCGAGAGGCATCACGGAACCCTCTCATACCGGTTGACGCAGGTGATCACCGGGAATGAATGCTTCGGGAATCACCTGTGTCTGATCCGCAAGGAGCCAACGCCTGAGTGCCACCACTACGATGGCCGAACCCTGGTCACAGCGCTCCATACGCTGGCAAAATGCCCGGCGTGGGTGGAGCAGAGGCGTTGCCTCGTAGCGGCCATCGGGGTGGGAGTTCTCTCGCTCGGTAACACGGACGGCCTGCCGTTTCGATTCGATTCTACCCCTCTTAGACTCAATACATTCTGCCCCTTTTGCCCTAAAAGGATTGCAATTATGTGTCTGTGTACTGAAGAATTCAATTACTTATTGAATAGTATACTTTTTACGGTAGCGCCAACCTCCGGCTAGTCGCACAATAACAAGAACCTGACTACGATTCTCAGTTAATTGTGATTAATCCCTTCGTTTATTAAAATTACACAATTCTTCATTCATCTCAAGGGTTACGAAACCCGAACTGGCGGAGAAGATTATAAGGCTTTTTTGTGCTTGATCCCCAAGCAACTGTACTGAATCTTTGTAATTATAACAACCACTCAAGGAAGGAAGGAAGGAAGGTTCTCGAGGGTAAGGTCACATTATAAAGATAATTCGCATGGATTATGTAAGCGGTCGACGGAGAATTAGTACGGAGAGATTTATTATAAAAATTAACATTTAAAAAAGTATTAATGGAGCTACATGATCTTTGAAATTGTAATAAACTGTATTCTTTATTCCCTAATTTTCACCCTTAGGGGTGAAATTTTAAATTTGAACGGAACTGAACACGTAGAAAAAAAAAGGACTGAAATTAGTTTATAAATTACGGACTTTTGAGGTAACAAACATAAAAAAAACAGTCAGTTGAGAAATAAAATCTCAACAAGATTGTTTCAGATTTTATGTGTTATCATTTCATGTTAGTAAGACTTGTACACCATAATAATGAAGCTAAAGGATTTTTGCTTATGTTCTTTTTATTTTCCTAAGATTAGAGATTTTTAAAGCTCACAACAAAACACTAGACCAAAAATACTTTATTGGGTAGAGTATTCATTGAAAATTATGGACAATGTAACATCGCACTTATATAAAACCCTTTTATATATGAATAACTCCATATTTCACAGAATTACAAAATAACTATAAATGTTGTGACAGTCTTGCCCATAAGTCTGTTACTGATTGATGATTTTAAAACGAACAATAAAATTAAAGGATTGCAATCTTGTACAGCTGTATTACAATGCTTGGTAAGTAAACTATTGGTCAATTTATCTTGTATATCTATTTGTTACTTTTTATAAATTAAGTGACAAACAAAATAACATTTGATTTTACAGACTGTTGAGGACTTTTCTGCAGGTAATTACTATGAAGTAATTTACTGTAGTTTACAAAAAAATATTGTTGAAAAAAAAAAAACGAGTTACTCAAGCACTGTTTACATGCTTCCTGGAGTTTTTAAAAGTGGTACCATCTGACGTAAAGGTAATTTCTACATATTTGTAAATGCTTGGTATTGTTTTATTTTTTTATTTAATATAAAGAAAAAACACTATTATTCATACGAATCACACCACAAACCATTTAGAACTTCACCACGGTATAATTAACCCACAACTCGGTTTAACACAGTCAATTGGATCTGGAATTGTCTGCACGTAAGCGGCATTCCGATAGGGTCTGCCATACATATCCAACTAAATTACTAGTTTATCTATTTCGCCCCAGTATCATATAACAGAGTTAATAAAGCATTAAACATTTATCCTCACTCATCCAGAGAGTGTCGATTGCTTACGGACAAATGGCTAGCTTTACTCTCATACGAAGAGTTGGAGAATCTAACTGGTGAGGAAGTTCTGCGCGCAATACGTACATTCACAAACACACTATGCCCAAATTTTATTGTAATCAACTAGCTGAGACTAACTTGTTATTTTAATATTACAGACACTCCAATTTTATTTATTTGTATAGATAGGTATAATTAATAAACATCTTGCTAAAACGCGCTACAAAAATATAAGTAAGTAATACGAGATAATATTCAGTTTTTAATATCATTTTTCCTAAAAAAATGATTATGATTAGAGATTATATTCAACCAGGAATGGGTTTGATTTGAATAAAATCACAGTTTAAGTTGCTGATTTTCCAACTTTATTACCAATATATTTAGAAAAAATGCCATTGCTATATGCAATAATAACTAAAGTCTATGAATATTATATTTATTTGAAAATCAGAATGTTTGCCTAGTTGATACCTCACGGCTAGTGGTAAGCAAGTGGCAAGTTAGTGGTAAAGAAGTCGGAATCGAGTCGACGAAAACGCTGTTCCATCACAAGTAGTCAAATGCCGCTCTCCGGTTATGAAGTGCGAATACGTCGAGTTATCGTACCTGTTCTCAGAGAATTTCAAACTTTGTCACCGTGGACAGAGTCATAGTCACCAATGCTGTTACGTTGCATGCCTGCGGAGTCCTTCATCAAGGTGTAATCTTATGATAATCTAAAAAAACTAATTGAATAGGGCAAGATTTCCAAACATTTTCTTGTCAGACTATAAACCTTTTTTTAAGGCTCGAATGTCTCTGATAAAAAGTGTGTTCCTTTACAGAAGACTAAATTGGATGAGATATTTTCAAGTGCTGTTGACCAATTACTCATTGAATCAAACATATACAGGAAAATAGATTGCCTTAATTTCATAACCAAAATAATTGAAATGCATGGGATTGACTGTGCAAAGAAGACAATTTATAAAGATGTTATCTACGATGCTATAGACATGTGCGGCAGTGTAGGGATCTCTGAAATATTACTACCCCATGTCATAGAAGTAAGTTGTTTATTGATGTCATTAGTTCCAATCAGACATTATTTCTCTTTTACTTGACTGCCAAAAAAGAGTTATGTTTTTTAACGAATATCTTGAGGAAAGTAAATTGGTGATAATGTGGATTTAACATTAGGTTTCAAAGTCAAACTTAAGATTAAATCCTAATAATCTAACCTAATATAACAACGGCAACCGTGATGTTCTTGAGTGGAGACAGCGTTTAGGCAAAAGTAGTTTTGGACGCCCACAGGCCTGGTAGAGTGACGATCTGCGCAAGATGGCTGGCAGGAACTGGATGTGAGAAGCCGAAAATCGATCTTAGTGGCGTGCAATGAGAGAGGCCTATGTCCAGCTGTGGACTACGATACGCTGATGATGATGATGATGAATCTAAGGTTAACTAACCTAAGATTAAAAAAGGCGACATCCTACCGTATGTGTTACTGAGATTTACTACTCTGTCAAGAGAGTACCGGGAAAAGATTAATAATACACAAAATGTTTGTAATTCTTCCAAATTTATTTTATCACCTTCAAAGTATGCTCCTTCTGACACGATACACTTACGCCAATGAATAATCCAATCATCAAAACATTTTTTTAACGCTGTTTCCGGAATTGAGTTCAGTTCTCGAATTCTCCTATATGTCTTCTACCTATTGAAAACGGGTGCCACGAAGTGGTAATTTGAGTTTAGGAAAAAGAAAGAAGTCGGCCGGAGCCATATCTGGTGAATATGGTGGTTGCTCGATGGTATTTGTTGTGTTTAGTCAAAAATTCTTCCAAATTTGGTCAACGATGGCCTTGTGCGAAGGCGCATTATCGTGGTGCAAAATCCAAGAATTTTCTTTCCAGAAATCTGGCCTTTTCGTCGAATTTGCTCTCTTAAATGCCGCATAACGCTCAAATAATATCCGTTTGACCTTCCGGCAAAAATTCCGAGTGCACAACACCGCGGTTTTTTCAGTTTCGGTTCAGTTTGAAGGCGCCACTCCGAAGCTTGTTGACTAGTTTGCATGTCAAACTCGTAAACCCACGTCTCGTCACCAGTAACAATACGTTTCATGAATGTTGGGTCGGAATTGACTCGTTCTAGCATGTCCTCAGCGACTCTCATGCGATTGAGTTTTTGGAGAAAATTCTGGTTTTTTGAGACTAGCCGAGCGGTAACATGTTTCATACCCAAATGATTGGTTAAAATGGTACGGATCAACTCGTGAAATACAGAAAATTCGGCGCCTATCTCTCTCAAAGTTGTATGAGGCTTTTCAGTCACTATTTCCTTCACTTTTGCGATGTTAACTTCAGTTGCAGACGTTGATGGCCTACTAGAGCGAGGCAAATCTTCCATCACATCTCTACCGCTTTTGAACGCTTTGTACCACTCATAAGCACGTGTTTTTGATAAAGTCGATTCACCGTAAGCCTTCTGTAACATTTTCACGAACACGAAATTCCATTGGCGATGCAAAATTTAAGACAAAACTCTTTGTCCGATGTTTTTGTCCATTATGAAATTCGCAATACAAACTAGATATGATATAACTAAAAACAGCACTGTATTTAATATAAATAACAGATGCAACTCAAACTCTCCGCCAAAACGGAAAACAGTTGTGCCAATCTAACAACAAAAAAAAACAGAAATTTGAATTTGGAACCATAAACAAATCATCCATTCCCGATACTTTTTTGACTGAATGAATATTAATTTTAGCTAGTAAATCGTTGACATTTAACCTAAAACAACATTTAACCACTTTCTATTTCAGTGTTTTCAAATGTGGCTACGGTATTGCTGGTGCATATGGAAGTTATCTGCCAACCATAAAATGCTGGCATCTCTTTTCAAGATCCTATATTTGTCCAAAAATGAAGTTACACAATTGAAAGTTCAGAATTTGATAGTAACTCTCATAAAATTGTGTACCAAAGAGGAACAGATAGATATTCTTGAAAATTTAGATGATCCACTGAAATGTTCAAATAAAGATTTCTTAAACAGGTTAGATATAATAAAAAAACAGGTTAATAGTTTGTTCTAGTTTAATTTTATATCCAAATATTTTATAACATTTTAAATATATTAGCAACATTTTGGATTCTCAAGTTTACATCAAAAATTGAGTTTTGTTACTATAAGACAAATTGTAACATGTGTAAAGATAAAATGAAGAAACATTTATAAATCATTTCCAAGCGTTTTTCCTTGTGTATAACATTAACATAATTGTATTTGTTTTATGTTAAGATATCACATGTATACTTAGACCTAAATAATCACAGAATACCATCGTCCAAATGTGCCATAAATTTGGATGATTTTAGGATAAAGAATGAGTGGATGTCACCAATGTATCAATTATAAGTTATATTGCACACGCTTATAAAATTACATACGATATTAAAAAAATTGTCAAAAAAATTAAACGAATTATCAGTAATTGCAAAACGTCCCATAAAATGTTTTTTCTTTTTGAACTGACAGAAAATTATTTTCTGTTTGGTTCGGCTAGTTACAAAGCGTGTTTTTTTAGTTTTTCTAAACTATAATTTATAACTTATCAATCCCATTAGTAAGTGTGAGATGCGGATTCTTATTATTTTAGAGCAAGAACACATTACACTTGAAGTTCCATTAATTAAACTAAAACTAAGTTAATAATGGGCTAAATATGAATTCCGAATGTCGTGGAAAGGTGTATTTATGGAACACGCATATTAATGTTTTGATTCGCTATATCCCAGAAATCTTCAAAAAAAAATGGCAAGGACAATTATTATTGTTATAGATGATTCCATCGTTTAAATTATTTATCTTACCTATTTCATAATATAATTTACTATTAGGTTGACTTGGTCTTTACCTTAACCTTTTCTACAGATGTGGGACTTTTTTTTTATATATATTTATATGCTCTCAACCTTTATACAATTTTTTAGATCGAATTGGAAGCAAGTATCTCAGTTCGTATAGAAAACACGCCTAGGAGAACACTGACAACGCGTCGGCGTAAGTACCTACGTCAAAATCTGCGGCCCGCGCAGTGCAGTGTGATAATCGCCCCAATGGAATGCCATCAAATATCTCGCTCATATGGGAGATCCTTAAAACTTTTATGTCAGAACATCAGGAGCATCAACAAAAATTTCGATGGTCTTTTGACCCTTTTGGATAGAAGTGACGTCTTTTGAGATTTGATCATTCTCACCGAATGCTGGTTGCAAAATTCATCACAAATCCCAACAATAGACGGTTACAGCTCTGTTAGGACTAACAAACTGTACACACAGAATGAAGGGGTAGTGATATACTTCAGCCAGCATCTTCGAATTTCACCCACTGAACCTTCTCTAAAGATTCTAACTGTTTAAGTCTTACGATTAATAAGGACACTGTGGTGATTGCAATCTACCGCCCACCTGCAAGGCAAAACGTGTCTGATTTTCTCAATTCCCTGCATGAACTTTTGAACTCCTACTCCTCCTATAAAAATGTTATAGTAACTGGGGATATCAACATTGACATTTCTAACACTAATAACAATCCCCGTTCCTTTGATTATCTTAATATGGCTGCATATCATGGTATGCTTCCGGCTCACACACTCTGTACACGTCAGAATCAATCCTGTCTAGATCACCTACTATTAAAAACTAAACTACCTGCTTTCTGTTACGTATCAAATACTTCCATCACTGATCATGATACAGTTTTATTTTTCTTCGTTCTAAACACTACTCTAATTACACTACTTATAAAACTACCAAAGTTATTAACTTTGAAAATATTGAATCAGAAATCATAACAATGGACTTTACCCCTATCTATACCTATTCTGACGTCAACGACGCGACTAACTATTTTATTAAAATTATAAACTCGTTAATTACGGCAAACTCAAGCTTAAAAATTGTTCCAAACCGTAAAAGACTTAAAAAACAGTGGATGACCCCAGGTTTACTGAAATGCTTGCGAAATAGGGATTGCTTGAACTTGAACTTATACTTGAAATTTAAAAATGATCCTAATAATGAAATTTTAAAAGTAACGTTCAAAAGATATTGAGCGGTGTGAATAAAAACGAGTACGACGAGTATTTACTTACAAGTAAAGTGTAACGTGTATTTTAACTCCAAGTAAACCGATGTGAATAAAGCGTCGAGTTTACTTGTGACCGTGTACTCGTCAACCCGAAGGTATACTAGCAAGTATTTACTCGCGAGACAACTGAATTCACAAGAAAGGCAAGTAAATACTTGTAGCGCCACACAGACTACGCATCATTTCCTGTTGTGACTTGTTCTGTTTTTGCCGCTAAACTAACTTACAAGTCAGTTGTCGTTCCCGTTTGTTTTTGTCCTCTTGCAGCTATGGATGAAAGTCCGGTTTCAATGGTCCGGTGACAATGAGCTATTTTTGTAGCGTTATTGAAAGACTTTAGTGTTGTGCTAAATAAATCCATGTTGCCTAAAGTTGCATCTGCTAAAGAGAAGGCATAGGGATGTTTAGCCGACCAGTTTTCGAAAAACGTTGGGAAGCAAACTAGTGTTGAACAGTTAAAAAAGCTATTGAACAATATAAAAACCGCAGTCAAGAAAAAAACTGATGTCAACGCAACTGGAAATAAACCAATAACATTGTTGTCATGGGAGGCAGATTTCCTAAAAATTTGCGATTCAAACGAGAACCCAGTTTATTGCAAAATACCTGGGGCTTCATGCGTTGGATTGGGAGCAAGTTCTACGTCTGAACTCAATGAGGAGATGAGAATAGGGAAGACGAAGATGACCCCGTTGACATGTTAGCATCAAACCAGCCTATAACACCAGTGACTTGCATACGTAAGAGCGATGCGACGAAGTTGAAAAAAGATAAGAAATTGAAACTCTCAGCTGAAACTGAAGAGATGTCAAAGTTGACAACTGGTGAGCTGCAGCGTTTATTATTACTTGAACAAATTAAGCTAACAAGACTTCAGGCTGAACGTGAACAACTGATGATAACGGAGTTAAACCTAAGAGCTGCACAACACAGACGAACAGAGTCCGTTGAACAACGCGTTGTGGTTGAAGAAGACGATGTCTTAAAATAATTTTTGTTGTTGAGATAAATTGTATTAAATTTATAGGATTAAATTTATTGCCATGTCAAAAATGTGTTTTTACATTATCAGATTATTACTAATTTCTAATCGTTTTTGCTGACCACGTCGTCTATTTATAACTTTATTCCGATCTAAATTATATAGAGGTACATTTTCTTCAGCCACACCATTTTCGATTCCGTCTTCCACTTCCCAAGGATCATTCAAATGTTTTGCTACATTGTGAAGCACTGCACAACTTATTACTAAATTGGGAACATTTTTGACTGCTATTCTAACTTGGCTCGAGAGTATGGGAAAACGACGTTTCATCTGGCCAAAAACTCTTTCCTGAGCATGGGTCGAATTGTAATTCCGCTCACGAGCATTTCTTGGTTCGTCAAAAGGAGTCAGTAACCAAGGAGTAATTCCATATCCGCTATCACCAAGGAGACAAACATCACCATCATATCGGCGCACCACGTCCTGAATTCCACTCACTCGCAAAATCCTGCCATCATGTACACTCCCTGGCCACTGAGCGTCCACACTTGTAATTTTTTCATTAGCGTCACAAGTCATCTGAATGTTTATTGTTGTTTTTCCTTTTCTGTTCACATACTCGTCGCCGAATTCCGAAGGTTTCATAATATGCACGTGAGTGCAATCTATAGCACCAATGACAGGCGGAATGCGAAATTTTGAAGCCCAATCTGCCTTGGCCTGATCCATATCTTCAATAGTGCGTGGAAATTTAATCCAATCTTCAGACTTTGACACTATTTTATCCAATACACTTGAAAATGTTCTGCTGACGGTACTTCTTTCAAGCCCCATGTCGTTGGCAACAGCACTTTGGAATCCTTGATCACTAACGTATCTCAGAAAAAATTCCATCTTTTTCCGTGCAGTTAATCCTCCACCCCTTGCATCAGTGTTTTCATCAAGAAAGTGCGAAGTGAGAAAATCTACGTTTTCGCTCTCAAACCGTAATAAGTAGTCCCGTATATAGATCGGGACTTATATCACGCCGGTCTCTATAACGTTTCACACCACGCAGGTTCATAAATGCAGCCATCTTTCGTGTACAAGTACGACTGCAAGTCTGGGGTCGGGTTGACTTGCGAATAGACGAGTATTTACTTGCTACAGAAGTATTTACTTGCGTTTATTCACACCAAAATTGGCATTTTGCCAGGTTTTACTAGCCTCTCAAGTATTTACTCGCGAGTAAGAGTAAATACTTGTTTTATTCACTTCAATTTTGGCGTTTACTTGTTATTTTGATATGTTCAAGTATTTACTTGTCCTACTCGTTTTTATTCACACCGCTCATAGGTGTATATATATATATATACACCTATGAGCGGTGTACTCATAGGTGTATACCTACTTAAAAACATGAAATTAAAATATAATAAAAATCAGATAGATAAGGCACAGGGTAATACAAAAAAAGTTTGGAAAGCTATAAAAACTATCACACACACGCTGAAAGACACTACCCAACCGCTCGAACTTCTCTCCAAACGAGACCCAAAACGATCGGTGAATGAAGTTAATACCTACTTTGCTGATATTGGACGGTCCCAAGCCGGACAAATCACTACTGGCAATCACCATCCGCACTTGGCAAACGTCCCACCTTACCACCATCCCACATTCGCCTTATTAGTAACGGATGAAGCTGAAGTCGATGCTCTTATAATGAATCTAAAAAGTCACTGCGCAGTAGGTAACGATGACATTTCGGGAAACTTCCTAAAAAAATTCAAAGACTTCTTGGTCCCACCTATAACTTATTTATGTAATCTTGCTTTCAGTACAGGAACATTTCCAGAAGCATTTAAACTCGCTGTAGTTCACCCGATCCACAAAGGAGGTGATAGGGGTCCACCGCAAAACTACAGACCTATATCTATTTTGCCAACCCTTTCTAAAATATTAGAGAGGTTAATGAACAACAGGCTTGTAAATTTCTTAGAGCAAACAAAACTGTTGTCTCCATGCCAATATGGTTTTCGTTCCGGTCTATCCACGAGTAAAGCAGTCTTGGACCTAACCAATTAAGTCACAGCTAAGCTTGATGATAAACTAAAAGTTATGGGTGTTTTTCTAGGCATATCAAAAGCTTTCAATATGATCTCTGTTCCTATCCTTGTAACTAAATTGGAAAAAATCGGTATCCGAGGTAATCAACTGTCTCTATTCAAAAGTTATCTCATCAATAGAAGGCAGTATGTTAAGATTGGCGATATCTGTAGCCAAGAGCTATTTGTAATCAATGGAGTCCCACAGGGCAGCATCCTCGGCCCTACCTTATTTTTATTGTATATTAACGATCTGTGCCAATTACAACTAAACAGCACCAAGATTTTTACTTACGCCGACGATACAGCCCTAATATCTTATGGTAGCTCTTGGGAGGCGGCATTTGAGAGTGCACAATCCGGTCTTAACGCTGTTACTAATTGGCTAGCCATTAATCAATTCGCACTCAATGTTGATAAAACTAATCATCTCACATTTTCACTAACTTCACTTGGTAGGCCTTCTTCATTATTCTATACCCTAATCGCTCACTCCTGTAATCCGCTCTCACAGGCCTCTTGTAATTGCCCCAACCTGTGCCGAACTAACAGTGTAAATTATCTAGGGGTACAGATTGACGATACTCTCTCCTTCCATTCACACATAGACGCACTATCCTCCAGACTACGAAAGCTCATATTTGTCTTTAAAACCCTCGGTCAGGTACCTGATACACAAATACTTAGGACCACCTATCTTGCTCTTTGCCAGTCTCTGACGCAGTACTGCATCGTTGTCTGGGGAGGTGCAAATAAAACATATCTCCTTAAATTGGAGCGTGCCCCAAGGGCGGTACTAAAAGTTGGTTGGAGGCTACCATACCGTTTCCCGACCACTGATGTTTATAAAACCTGTAATGTGCTCTCTGTCCGTAAACTATTTATCCTCTCCGTTATTCTTACGACTCACTCTCAGACTCCTTATGATCCTTCGAAATTTAAGTCTGTACGTCGAAAGCATACTGTATGCCCGTTAAACCTGGTCAGAACAAGATTAGCACAGCGATGTTTCTACCACTTTGGTAACTATTTGTACAACAAAGTTAACAAAATCCTGAATGTGTACCCAATGACTAAATTTCAATGTAAAAAAGCTGTTACCAAGTGGTTACTTGATTTGGATTATGACGAAACAGAAAAGATAATCTGCACTATTAAATAAGTAGTGTCACTCATGCGCATACACAAATACACACACAACACACACACACACACACACACACACGCACGCATACACTAATTTCTAGTGCTTCTTACCTTTTTTAATTATATTTTGAATTTAAAAAAAAAATGTGTCACGTTGCTCAAAATCAACATGTATATGTATGCATCTGTATCTCTAAGGTGGGAGCCTGGAGATTTGTCACACGGGTTTCGTACCTACTACAAACTCCAGCTCTCACTAAGGTGTCATGTATGTTATATTTATTATAGTAGCATAACAAACCTATGTACCTATTTACCTTTTTGAGACCAATAAACCTTATTATTATTATTATAATGTTCGACCACTTAAACCTTGATAGGAAGAAAGCCAATTTGATTTAACACAAGTTCGGTATATCTATTATGATAGTTGTCCAAATATTTATAAGAAAAGTGGTTAATGACTTGTAAAGGTTAAATAGTATTAATATATATAGAATATGCCCAGAACTTACATAGTTTAAAAAAATACAAGATGAATAGCTTACTAACTAAATATCTAGAATATAATCATAATAATCTTACATAAACTATCATAATTATATTACTATCGCTTCTTAAAACTCGGGACATCCTGAAATATAGCATAAGCTTTAGCATAATTGACCTATATTAAAACATATTTATTTCGAACTTATAAGGAAAGAGGTGTCTTTGAGATGTTTCGTTAAAAATACCCTAATAACTTTTTCGGTTAAAAACGAGAAATTATATGATACAGCAGTGATCACTAGGTTTTCCTAAAAAACCAAACATCATAAAAGTTACCCAGACTAGCACTTGTTATGCTAAGATGCAAAAAGAAAATGTTGTTTTAGACAAGAACATGGTATCTGGCAATATTCTACATAGTTAGAATATGATAATTTAACTACAATCTGTTGAGCTCTAATATGAGAAAACTTTTAAAATTATTAATGGTTTTATCAAAACACAAAAAATAGATACATTTAAGTCATTGTACATACCATACAATTTTAAAATCATGTATATCTACTATACTAATTGATATCATTCAGGGTACTACACACATAATCTATTGAAGGCCTGAATTTCTTATCTGGTTCAAGACAATTATTAGCTAAGTCATAGACTTTTTTAGGTTCTGTCCATTTGGGCACTGAACGGTCCAAAAGTGGAGTTATATCACCATCGGTGCAGTTATCTTCAATGTATTGCTTAATGTTCATACTTTCACCTCTTGTAGACACAATTGGTTTCAAACCTGTCAATATTTCCAACATCACAATACCAAAACTGAATATGTCATTTTTTTGTGTAATAGTACCTGAGAAGCCTTCTGGTGCCATGTATGCAGAGGTGCCCATCATTGACCTTGTAATGATGGTGGTGTCTAATTGCTTTGCCAATCCAAAATCACATAACTGAAATTATAAATGAATAATTATTATACTTTTACTATTAATATAAAGTGTATATTATATCTTTTTTTATTGTATAGGGATGGGAACACAACAAAAACTAAAACCACAATCTCTCTTTCTTCAAACCCTTTAATAGAAAGGTACTTTAGTCTAAAGTTTTACATATGAGTCCTCAATATAATTTGGCACCATTTCTGGTCGTTTAGGAGCATAAGGTCAAAGAAAAATTAAAAAATAGCAGAATGTCAAAAGCGCAAAATGTCAAAAAAATTATTATGGGTTAATTGCTTGGATTTTGTTTTTTTTTTGCACAATTGCCAATGTGAGAGTTTGGTTCCTAACCTAACCTGCTTTTCATTTTCTATAAGTGTTCAGCTCTATAAGTTGCTGGATGAATATTAGACATTCTACTTTGCCATTGAGCGCTTTTTATATTCGAGCAGAATATAAAAAGCGCTCAATGGGAGGCGCTCATTTTGAGAATTTGAGGTTGTTTGTCATTTTGTACTATGTATTTGATCTGTCCGTGTAGTGACGGATTAAGAATACAGAATGTCACTACCCCAATTCATCCCGTGGGTGTCGTAAGAGCCGACTAAGGGCTCAAAACAACGCAGGACACCAGCGCTGCAAAAAGACGGAAAACTTGACACAAACCCTATACCAACCCGCCTGGCCAGCGTGGTATAGTAGGCCAAAACCTTCTTTTTAAGGAGAGGCCTATGTCCAGCAGTGGACTATTAAAGGCTGTTGATGTGATGATGTTGATGATTTGATCCGAAACGAAATGGTCTAGAATCCGTTTAACAATTTAAAAGCAGAGCGAAAAATATGGAAATAATGAAAAAAAATGAATACCTTTGGTACACAATCCTTAGTTAACAAAATATTTGCACTTTTCACATCTCCGTGGAGGTAATAGCTTTTCTTTGGAGGGAGAGATTGCCTATCACTGATAATTTCATCAGTTAGTGGTGGTCTTTCCCTATGATGAATATACTTCAAACCTTCAGCAGTTCCTCTTAGTATGTTAATTCTCTGCTGCTCAGACAGAACTTTATCAGCTATCTTTTGTAGCAAAGATCCTCCATCAATATATTTACAGACTAGGCATGGTGTTGGTCCATCAATAGAATAACCTAATATGGGCACAATGTTTTTATGTCTGAGGTATGAGAGAGACTTGACTTCAGTGTTGAATATTTTCATTACAGTTTCTCTATCCAAGCCTAGTAAATGGACATATCGTACTTTCTTTACAGCAAGAGGGCCAAAGTCCTTGTGAGTTCCGACATACACATCACCAAAACCTCCACTACCAATTTTCCCAATGGGTCCATCAGCTTTCATATGTAATGTTTCAGAGAACTTATCTGTTATGGTTTCGAGTTCTTTATACTCAAATCTATTTAACTTTTTGTCATCTAATATAGCTCTGTCTATTATGTCAAATATGTCCACATTTGACGACGAAGACAAAGGGTATAAAGACATAGGAATAAAATGAGAAACTTCATTTTGTGATGAACTGTCAGTAGTATTTGATAAAGTGTTATCAATACTGTCTGATTCATTTGGTATTGAACTAATTTGACTTTCTATTGCTGTTGATTCAGCTAACATATCAGTAATGTTGGGTATATAATCTGAGTTAGAAGCAGAAGGGGCTGCCTGTGGTACAGAAAACTTTATCATATCAGAAACCTCTTTGTGATTCATTTTTATTTTTTTATCTATATCGGAAAAGCCTGATAGCTTAATCAAGTCACTTGGTTCTTTCATCTGAAGAGTAGTACCATTGCACAGAGCATTATCATGATTAGAGTTATTAAGATTACCACTAGTTATTGTGTTCATAGATTCCAATTTCTGCTCCATACTCTCATCATTTAATATATCAGTTAAACTGGTTGTAATAGGTGCGCCAGGGCCAGCTAGAGGTCGGACTGATGGTGGCTCTGTAAGATTTACACAAATATGATTTTGTTAAAATCTAACCATTTATGGGTTAAGAAGCAACCATCACATGGTTAAAAAAAAAATGGGCTTAATAAGTATTAGGCCTGTATTTTAATAAAAACTATATAATAAAAAAGAAAGTGTTAATAGAATGTTGAATAAATTCACCTGAATAGAAATATAGCATATATAGAAATATTAGAAAGCTACTCCTCACACGCCACTACACTGATAAGCGCTCACCTGTGAAGGCACTTTACAGTGTAGCTGCATTTCATGGATTTTTGGTGGCTTATGAGAGGTTAATAGCAGTATATGTACAATAATATACATATATACCATAATTCACACATCAACAGCCTTTAATAGTCCACTGCTGGACATAGGCCTCTCCTTCGAAAGGAGGTTTTGGCCAAGAATACCATGCTGGCCATAATTCACACACATAAAAAGTGAAGATATAAGAATCTTAAAAAGCAGAAGCCCCTATACAACAAAATATAAATATAGTATACTGAAAATAATTATAAGTCATTAATAATAACCTCCTATCATACGAGCCACTTCATCAGCCGCTCTAAATATTTGTGCCTGTTCCAAAATTGTTTTAAGAAAGCCTAAGGTTGGTCTCACTCTTCCTGATGTTCCCCATTCATCAAATAGTACCTCTGCATAAGGTCTATTTGTCTTTATCGCGTGGGTTTCCATTGCCCTGCACAAAATAGAAAAAGCTTATTAGAAACAACATATCCATTTAGTATCAATATTGGATTTAGTTTTTTAGTTAATCTGAGCAGCAAGTACAAAAGGCACATATACAACGTAACTTACAGTATTTCTTCGTAGTTGTATTTACGTTCAAAATTCGGACTCTGGATATTTTTAGGAATAATAGTTACAACTTTTTGCCAATCTTTATTGATATCCAAAATAATTGCTACATTAGAGAGCGAAGAAGCAGGCAAGTTCCGCAATTCTGTGTTCCGATTAAAAATTGTAATAGACATCTTATAATAATAAACTGTTTTGAGCAAATAATCTGTATGTCATTAAAAAGGCAGTGATTCACTAAACTAGTCAATTGTTCACAACTTCAGTTGTTATCTACTAGCTTCTATGACAAAATTATCCCAAATTTATCACTGTATAGAAGAAGAGAGGAAAGACCTAAAGACTAATTTTGTACAGTAAAACTAGTTTTAAAGAATAAACTGTCGATTAAATTTATGAAGGAAACTTTACGAAGTACGGAAGTTCTAACTATTGACATAAATTTGACAAGTGTAAGTACTGTTGCCAATCATAATTTATGAAATGTACTAGTTTTTGAAAATTATTGGTAGATTAAGAAACTGAATCAGCTAAAAAGTTGGAGATTTTTAAAACCAGCATTTTTAGATTAAATTATCTGTGGATTGTCGAACAATTTGAAATTCAAATGAATTTTATTCTAAACCTATGTTATTTTAATTTAAAATTTAGTAATTTGTTTTAGATAGTATTTTGCTTTTTCGAAATTCTGGTAGTTTTTGGCGTCATGGATAAACCGAAAATACAATTTTCACATGTGAGTTCCTACGTGGAAATGCCGTTGCCCCAACATCACGAAACATCCACGACGTGTACGGGCCTAACACTGTTTGTATAAACGCGGTCCATTATTGGTTTAATCGTTTTGGATGATCTGGAAATTGTAACTAAGCTAGATACATGGGTGCCACGTGAACTAAGCGACCATCAGCGAGACTTAGTCGTCAAAGCATATAGTCAAGGATCCAGCGTCCATTTTTACAATTGATTGCTCTCACGCTAAGTTTTCGTGACTAGCTACATTTTGATGATGGTCCGAGAGCTGGAATTTTGAGGTCTTTTTGGCAAGTTGAAATTGTGAAAATTCGTCCAGGGGTGAACCCAGTCCCGCGAGTCTGGGATAGCGTTAGCGGGTTTTTCGTTACTGCGCAGAATGTAACATTTGCAAAAAAAAAAAACAAATAAATGTTTTCTTGGCAACTTGATACCGTGCCTACGTGAACTTGAAACCATCATGCATCACCGATTATATTATCATCTATCGATTATATTTTTTATGCTCGCTCGCTTAACATTACTTACATCGTCATCCTTTCCTTAATTTCAGACCAAATCCGTATTACTTCGCCGCCGCTTCACATGAGTGAATTCCATCCATCCAGTTAGCTTTTAGATTGCTAACGCAACCATTATAGATAGGAAGCTTTTTTATCAATGACATAAATTATGTTAGATTGTGTATTCCACAGTTTCATACGGTACATTTTATTACCTCTTCGGTGGTACTAGAAATTATTTGTATGGAATTTTCATAGTGATTACAGTATTTATTCATCTGTGTATATATCAAAGTGATTAAAGTAATAGGTCTTTACCTATGAAATTGCCGTTTTGTATGCAATAAGTGAAAGTACTTATTTTTTCAAACTTTTTTGTTTCTATTATTCGAAGTAATCACCCATGCAAACATATCTTTGCCAACGAAATGGCAGTTTATTGATGCCCTTCTTGTAAAAATCAGCTGGACGGGAGGCAACAAACTCTTCAAAGGCATTTTGTACTGCCTCTCGGGAATTGAATTTTTTACCCACTAAAAAGTTGTGTAAATTTTGGAAAAAGTAATAGTCGGTAGGTGGAAGGTCTGTTTTGGGAAAAGTTATAGTCGGTATAGGTCAATTTTGGGCAAAGTAATAGTCGGTAGGTGCAACCTACCGACTATTACTGTTCCCAAATTTTAGACAACTTTTTAGTTGTAACTATTTTCCCGTCTAGCTGATTTTTACAAAAATGGCATCAATAAACTGCCAATGCGTTGGCAAAGATGCGTCGATTGCATGGGTGATTACTTCGAATAACAGAAATAAAAACAGTTTGAAAAAATAAGTACTTTCACTTATTGCATACAAAACGGCAATTTCATAGGTAAAGACCTATTATTATTTCGTCTTTCAAACAAACGTCATCTACTAACTTACTTTTCTGTGCAACTCAGAAACTATAATAATGTCTAAAATATTGAACTTACTTATTTTTACCTTTCTGTTTTATTTACGTTATCGCTAGAACGGGGATAAAACCGAAAAAGACATTTTAATCAACGTGTTCAACTCCCTGCATCTAAACTTACAAACTATTTACCAGTCCATAAGTCATTTTAGGATAGTTTTCGGGGATAGTATATATATGGTAACTGACACCACTCGTTCGAAAAAGTTAAAATATATTTATATTTCCTTGATTTTTTTTTATAGGTAATAAAAAACCCAAGTTGTAAAGAAATTAAAAATCTAGGCTCTCTTGAGCGAATTGCGGAGGCAGATTTGCAGTGACATCCCGAATTTGCAATAGTTTATGTTCTGCGGTGATGCGTCTCCATAACACTGGACATTCCATATTCTCACAATGTGCAGTGTTATTGTGACCACAACATGATGCACAAATCTGCGAAAAACAATACACTATCTAAGGAATAGAATTTATATCATTTTATAAATTACAATGATACGAAATTAGTTTCATTAATATTATGAATAAACATGAATTGTATGTGTCTTTTTTAACTTAAAATTTCGGGACTACCTTACATATCACATGCACGGTTTTACGCTTTAGTGATTGATATCTCTGTTCCAAGCATTACAAAACTCTCACGTATTGACATAGATCACAGCGCATTGTACATACTTTTAAATGTTAAAAAAGATTGATAATAACGCTCACAAAATATGAGTATGTGTCTGTACGGGAATGATAGCCAATAGGTATGAAACAAAAAGATTTACTTACACTGTTACAATATTGCATATTGTCATAAGCGACGCTCAATCTACATGCGAGGGCGGCGGCAGACTTCTGCGCTTTGGTGCTAACGGCACAGCTCCCGCATATGGCATCGCGTGAGCTGCGAGTGCCACAGAGCGCGCAACGTTCGCGCCACATGTAACGAGCTATACCGCCCGTGTTTCGACACTCACGGGCCTGGATTTCGCGAGTCATTCCTATTTCCGACCACCTGAATAGATTTAATAAAAAACGCATTTATAATTACTAACATTTGCTCGGTAGTTAAGTCTATTATTTAAATTTTGAGAAAAACACATTTGAAGGGGAAGAAAGAAAGAAGTATGATAATAGTTTGCCAAACAGAAGGAAACTACTTACTTATTTTAGACTAGAGGTACAATTCACAACGACTGAAATGAGAAAAATAGTAAAAATATTGCCGAGTTAGTAGACGGGTGCAAGTTACCATTTAAAAACGTCGACACCGAGCAAGGAGAGGCAGCGGTGCAGGGGCGGCAAGAGCACGCGCGCCGCGTAGTACGCTACGTGCGGCGGCGTGGCGGGCTCACGCCGCAACTCGCCGGGCGTGCGCGCCAGCCGCACCAGCGCCGTGCCAGGCGCGCCCGCCGCCACCTGCCACGCCACGCGCCACCCGGTGCGGGGCCGCGCGCGACTGTCGCGCGATGCCAGGCGCCTGCACGCCAAAACAGCCAACATTTTGTGTATTAAACGGACCTTATAGTCGTCTCACGGTGTAGACCGCTCGTATAAAAATATTCATTCAAATCCATGTAGCCGTAATATTGTTTAGAGAGCAGGCGAAATAAAATTATTTGTTTGTCAACATACTTGAATAAAAGCTACTCAAATTAATTCAGCAGGTTATGCATCAGTTACATAACCAAAATAACCATGCTATAAAATTACAAACTGACTATAAATTTACTTGATAGCAAATGAACAACTACGCTAAAAGATTAGATTGTGATATAATATTAATTAAGATCATGTAAACCCAACAGCTATTCAAAATGCTTGAAAATAACTTTTGTTTATCACGTAATCGGTTAAAAAACAACAGATAATATTAGAAAATATAACTTACCTAGCTATCTCGTTGGGTGGCGCGCTAGCACCGGCCCTATACCCGCCAGGGCCGTGGTACTCACGAGTGAAGAACAACTCTTGCGGTGGCAACGTGCCGTCTACCAACTTTGAAAGCGTAGCCATCACGGAGCGCTTGACGCGAGACATGTCCCCCGTTTCGAATAATTCGCACAAAGCGCGTTGCAGAAGCTGATTGAATAAACATAATGACAGGATTTCACAGGATTGTAGTGATTGGTAATAGATACTTTAAATTGACATAAAACCTTCATGGTGTAAGATTTTCGTGTAAAACTTTTTTCACATGATACATAAGAGGTTCTACTTTAAAAAAATGTGCTACCCTCGTTTTTCAACTTTCAATTCTTTTTTTTATTCAGCTTAGACGTGAAAGATGGCTACTTCGAAAATCCGAGTTAATTTTAAATAGGAGTTCTGAAGCGGAACTAACGCGGCAGAAATAGCTCGCAATATCGACGCTGCGTTTGGAGAGAATATTGCTAATGAACGCACAGTGCGTTTTTGGTTTAAACACTTTCGTAAAGGAAACTTTGACTTGAAAAAGGAACCACGTGGAAGACCGCCCACACAGGTAAATAGCGCTGAATTGAAGGATTGTGGATGCCGATCCGAGTCAAACTACCTAGGAATTGGCTGCATGGTTTAACGTTACCCTACTGTTTCAGTCGTATCGTACCAATACATACGTACTACTTAAAGCTGACCCCAACCTAGTTTGTGAAAAGTCTCGGAGGAAGGGAGTATAACATCAGATTGGAACTTACTTTAACACCAGCTGGGCATCCGTCTCTTCGGACAGTTTCTATTCCTTTGGCTTCGTACACAGGTTTCTCTTGAGCGGCACTTTCGTACATGTAACCTACATAGCGCTTTTTTGTTTGCAGAATGCAAGGTTGGTATACCTGGTCAAGAGTGATTAAGTGTTGAAATAATACACTATTTTTTCTATTTCATACACACGTCTTTATCCCTGAAGGTGAAGATATAGACGTATTAATAACGCACACATTTTATCTTTCTAAATACATACATTTTATAGATACTATTACACCCAGGCACAGAGCAAATGATCGTGCTCATCACACAATATTTGCCCTGGGTGGGAGTCGAACTTACGACCCTTTTCCTAGGTAAGGGGCCGTTTGTCATAATTGAACTGCGAAATTTGCGAACTGCGAGATTTAGTATTGTACTTTAAAAAGTTTTGAAAGTTACCTTTTCAAGTTTGAGTGCAACAGGCGATGGATTGTCGGCGGTAACCGCGTCGGCGATTTGTTGTCCTATTTCAAACGCCTCCGCGCGGGTCCCTCCAGGCACCAATACGAACATAGAGTCCGTGTCACCGTATATTACCTTCGATACCAAAATAAAACATCCTATTAGCCGTACAGAAATTATAATTTAGAATCAAAATGTTTTATGCGTATGATCAGGAGGGTCGTATGATTTGTTCGCAATGCATGAAAAATGTACCTTAGCATTCCACTGAGTACTCTCTCGGACTAATTTGATAGCTCGTTCTAATGTTTCCCTGCCTTTCGCCACTACACTATCGCCGACCTCTACGCAGGGCATGCGACCGCTAAAGTTAGCCGCTGTGTACCCATAAGTTACGTTTGCGATTAACTTCAAACCTGTAAAAAAGTAGTAAAAGCAAAATAAGAATTAGGTACAGACAAGCTTGAAAACCCGAAATCCTACATAATATTTTAAATGTGAAGTTTGTTTGCTTTCATGCCTTAACCTATAATCATTCATCAAGCAAACGCTGGTAGCTACTAGAAGTTAGTTTTTATCAAATCATTAAATAGGATACACAGTTTTAGGTCTAGCAAATCTTACATATTACTTCATTATGACAAACTTACTAAGCTAGTGCTAAAGTTAACTACAATGAACTATTACAGCGCCTTTATTTATATATGTAATACTGTAATTATAACAGTTCATCATATTATATGATGAACTATTCAACCATGCTCCGAGATTCCTTAAGGTATTTCCTGTATCAAACAGACGAAAGCAGGTAATTACACTCGTCATGACATAATATTACCGTAAACAGTCTACTGTAAGTATGTAAGTAAGTACTTACATAATATTATGAAGCGTTGCTCATAAAAACCCAAATAATTAACATAAAAAACTGTGTTTATCTAATAGTCAATGTTTCCGCATTTAAAAGAGAGTTTTTTTAGTTTAATGTCAATTACAAATATATAGGTAGAAATGATGCCGGCATTACCTAATTGTCTAGAATGCATGGCTTTCTTCACAGTTTCATCGGTTTGTGCCTTCATATTTTTCTTGACAGCCTGTCTGGCAGCGAGTATCCTTCTTAATAGTGCCGGCAGTACACCACGACGTACGGAAGCTTTAACAAATCCAACACCGACAGGCGACCAATGGACTAAGTTCTCTCTAACTAGAGCTTCGACTTTAGCTTTAGGTATTTTAAGACGCCATGCCCCGAATTCGTAAGCTGTATCACTGCAAGACATTTTAAACAATTATTTTATATAAGCTCACTGCAGATATTGCAGGATAGGCTTGTTGGATCTGACAGCAATGCTCAACGTAAACGTTTATTCAATGAAGCAAAAAGTAGGTAAATAAAAATATTCCCGATATAAGTTTGTTTGTAGTAGTAGGTTGAAATTTTCTTCTAAACTTTCAGGTTTCTTATAAAGTGTGGTAGCCACATAAAAATAAAGGTATTTGTGTAACATTCAGTACTTAGTTACAAGCAGTTTTTACCAAAGTGTCCGTGTGGTGACGTATTAAGAATACGTGTCACCACCCCTATTTATCCCGTGTGTGTTGTAAGAGCTGACTAAGGGAGCAAACTACGCAGGACAACAGCACTGAAAGGGAAGGAAAACTTGTCACAAACCCTATAACAACCCGTCTGGCTAGCGTGGTATAGTAGGCGAAAACCTCCTTTCTAACGAAAGGCCTATGTCCAGCAGTGGACTATTAAATGCTGTTGTTGATGATGAGTTTTTACCAAAAGCTGACATGTTTAAAAAAAAAAGCCTAAATTAAGTAGGTAGGTAGTATATTAAGCACTACCACATCATAAATCAATCTCTACAGCCAGTAGAAAATAAAAGTCGCTAAATTTTAAGATGTCTATTTTTTTTAAACAGAATAGGGAACAATTGAAACAGAAAATAATAGAATTATGTTTTAAATAGGGTTATGACGTAACAGTTGTAGTCCCATGTTATCCAATATAAACGCCTGAAACCACAAAATAATTTTTTAACTGACTTCATAAAAGGAAGAGGTTTTTATTTCGGTTGTCTTTCTTTAAGTTTGTTATTTCTAAAATACGCACTTATGAAGCGATTGGAAAATTCTTTTATTTAGAAGGGTCCTCTTTGGTCTCATTGTCTTACTGCTCAGGGTGAAAATAAAGAATGATCAATATAGTTTATTACATTCGGTCGAAGTCGGTTGATAAGACACTTTTTTATTAGTTAACTATTTCTTGTCTATTACTTACCTAATATTTTGAACTCGTCCAATGCAAGTTGAAAAGCAGTAGTTGTAAGCAATCATCATAGATGGGTACAAGCTCTGGAAGTCAAGGACTATGACGGGGTCGGCGTAGAACCGCGACTCAGGTTCAAATATGAGCGGGAGACATTCAGGGGCGCGCATGGCTGCCCGCTGTTTGACAGTCGGTGATAATGCTACTAAATTCAGTGGTCTTGCTGCTCGCAGCATTAGAGATTCGACACGGAACTGTGACCCTCGGGATAATACTTCCCACCATTGCAGTCCAAAAAGTCGAGCCAATTCTGAAGTTCTGTCTGTGTTAAAACAAATCTTTACTAATTTATTTTATTATTTCTTAAGATAATTTATACCACTTTTATTTTCTTTATGTTAGTTCTAGTTTGAAAACTAACTTATTACATTAAAAACTAAAAAAAAATGTGATAAAATACATATCTCTTTTGCATGGTCAGCTATCGTCGATTCTGTGGTGTTAAAAAACTAATTATTTTAGATTTCAACGAGAAAGATTAAGCGTTAGCATGAAATTATTTAGAAGCCATTGGTGGCGAAGATCGCTGCTTTTATTGTTTAGAGTTCTAGATAAACTTTTCTATATTAATTACTACTATTTATTTTATACCTACTCAAATATTTAGACTCGAAACATAAACGGATTCGAAATTAATAAGAAATAGGTAATGTAATTCTAGAAAAATATCTTACTTATAATATCGAGTTTATCCAACATCCTGACGGTACCAGACAATTTTGTCAAGTAATATTCTACTGGAATCCATCTTAATATTCTTGACTCATCATGCCACCATGCCGCTAACTGAGAGTAACTATACTTAGGAACTCTTTCTTTCAATACCTCATACATGCAGTTTTCAAAGCTGTAACTTGACAACGCCATCTCATGACGAAATAATCGCCAAACATTTAACATGATTCTGCCAATAATTCTTGCCTCATAATCAGTTTCTTCACCTCTCCATCGTTTTTGACGATGCTTTTCGGTTATTCTAGAAACTTCTCTAACAATTTCCAAACCTAAGGCTTGAGCTCGACTGAAAAGGTAGCCCCAAGAATCCATTTCTACTTCATACCCACACATTATATCTGGGTCGTGGTTAATTACCAATTCTATGATTTTCTCAAATAAATTACTCTCATTATTTACGTATGTAACATCGACATCGAAAACGCATCTATCTAGATACTTTATTGCTGCTGTTTCTTCTACAACAATTACTTTAGTAATGCTTTTAACTAACCGGTGATCCGGGGGGCAATCATTTGTTATAGTGACAAATAAAGCTTGGATGGGATCTATCGCTGGATCAGGGTTCAAATCTCCTCTAACTGCAGTAAGAACCTCAGCTAACATTACTGTTAAAAAGTTTACCTGCATAATAATATATCAATTATTAATAATAACTTAAAATTATCGTACAGAACGGATTTATAAAGCGGAATACTTACATCAACTACCGGCGTCTCAATAGTATTGCTGTCTAATCGATTATCATTAGTTCCAAAGCACAGAAATGAGCCATCAGGTTGCATACTGACTTGAAGGCTAGTATTTAAATTATTTTTATCCTTGTCATCTGTTTCCAGACTCATACTGTTATTAATTTCAGCTAAACCTAAGGCTTGTGAATTCTCCAAATCATCAATATTTGTACTTATATCTACATTATTGTCAGTTTCGTCTTTTGTGACATTATTTCGTTGTTCTAACCATTTCATTATCTCTTTTTTCGTCGGTGGTTTTGTTAATGGCTCCAAAATGTTTTTTTTATTGCCAGCCAGAATTAATTTTAAGCTGTCTGGGTTTGCTGATTCTTGTGACATATTATTTGTTTGCAGAAATATTAAATGCCGCCACTCTTCTATATTTGTTGCATCTAGTACTTTTTCGAATGGTTTCTGATCTCTCGATAGTTTACTGTTGACTTTTAACACAATTTGACCTATTTCTACTTTATCACCAACATCTTTGTGGTCTGAATAATATGGTTTAGGATTTTTTGTTTTAGGTATATTGTATTCATGTAAAGTAGACATTACATAGCTTTTAGTCGGTGGTTTCATTCGAGGGGTTAATATCTTAGAATAATTATAATCTATTAACGTAACATTTCGTTTATTTTCATTATTCATTTCTTCAGTTGTTGTATTTATTTCCATTTTTATTTCCGATGTTGCCTTTATATCGATATCCACTGGCGAACAATGATTACTGACATTACCATATTTATCTGAATTGTAGTGTATGTCACTATCATTTTCTAATGATAAATCGAATACTTTAGACGTGTCATAAAAGCTCATTATACCTAATTTATTGCACTCTGGGGAGGAATCTATATCATTTATACTATCATCAAATTTTTGTCTTAAAGTATCGTTGATACTCCAATTTGAGGGCCCAGCGGCTGGTTCAATATTTCTCTCTAAATCATATATTTTAGCGGCGTTTAGAGGTAAATCGTCACAGTTTTCTGTTAGTTCTTTAACTAAAGTTACCTTTGATGTCACATTGCCGGAATTCGAATGTTTACATTTCTTTAAAATACTCTCAGTTTCTATTTTCACAGCTCTTTTTAAATGTAAATCTGAAATATCCTCTATTGTGTCTCTTGAAACATTTATTTCATCAACCTCACTAACGTCTAACGTAGATTCAGAAGTAGTATCTACTGATTTAGATTCCTTTTTTTTTGACTTCGGTCGCGATAGACCAAGTTTAAAAGATCTCATTTTTCTTTTCCTAACTTTCTTGACATCTGCAAAAAATATCACCATTACAATATTAAGTCAGTTAATATTTACAGTTTTTACCTACAAATCATTTTTTATTCATTTGTGCTGCTTGGTGTCAATGATAGTAAGTGCTGAGATTTCTTTATAAACATAGGAATATGTATTTTGAAACTTAAATTTTCTTTAAACCTACACTCCAGAAATTTTGCAATTATTCTAATTATTGTGCTAAACATAAGTCTCAGAGATACAGCCATAACTGTATTTAACTACAAATTACTTACGATCATCGTCACAAGTTCCATCAAGTTGTGGTATGTTGGCACCATCCCAAAACGAATCATTCCACGACGGTGAACTTTCACTTACATCTGTACTAATACCGAAAACATAATAAAGTCAGTCTTTATTACTAATTGATATCATAAATGTGAAAGTGTTTATTACGCTTTAAAAACTCGAATGATTATTCTGTAATTTTGTACACGTGATATAAGGTAAAAAAGGACATAGGGCAACAAACATTACTAAAAAACACTTATTGAAGGGACAGACAAATAACTTGAATACCAGCGAAGACACAGGCAAAAGCTAGTTTTCACGCGACCATTACAAAACAAACTTACTATTTATCTTGACTTAAAATTAAGGTATCTTCATTAAATATTTGTGAATATTCAGCATTATCTAATTCAACATCTGCATCATTTTCTACATTGACTGGTATACCCATAACACTATCTTCTTCAATAGGCTTTTCATCCATATTTTGCAGCATATCAACCAGTTCAAAATCTTCACTGTCCACTGCAAAAAATTAATAACTTAAAATCAGAATTACTATTTATCCCTTTTACATTCACAATTGGTTAGTTAAAGAAATACCTATACTTACACAATACTTGGCTGTAATGTAAAGATAAACTGTTGTTCAAAGCTAACTCTTCGTCCACTAGTGTATTGTCCACATCTTTTTCTACAAATTCATCTGTATTACCATTCAAGGTTTGGTTAAAACTGACACCTAAAGTATTGTCAGGCAAATGAACATTGACATCAACAGCATTGAATAACTGAGAGCCTACTATACTTTCAGCTGGATAGTAGACTGTTTCCAAAGGCTTATTATCATGTTCAACAACAACAGGTTTATCAATTAAATTAGACAGTTTTATCTTAAATATCTGTTCAAATTTATAATGGGAATCAGTTTCTTCTGCCTTTATCCTGCCTTGAGATAATGATTTTGAAGCCAGAGATATATTTAGTTGTTTACGCCTTTCTGATTCTTGGTTCCATACTTCCTCTAAGCCTGGATTTTCAATTCCATCCCCTTTGCCTACCCTTTGACGATTAATAATGTGGGATGCTGAACAATCAGCTTCATAATAACAAGAACTTTCTGGTTTGAGGCCATAGTCATCTGAATTTCGTACTTCATTACTATTTTGTGAGATGCCTGATTTACGAAATTTAACACACTGTAAGTCTACGTTGCTCATTCCAAATAAGTTAAAATCTATGAAAAATTGCAGCGTAAAATTTAAATGGGATTCATGTGGTTGGAATGTTTGACCTAAAATAGCACCATTACTACATAGTTCCACTGCCTGTTTAATTAAACCAGGGCTGTATAGAAATACCTTCAAATAAAGATGTTCTTTGTCATGATATCCATAGAATGGTCTGAAACATAAAGCAATTTATTTCTTGATTACGAATACTTGGTGACGAATTAAAGGTTGTCTGGAAGAGATCGCCGTGAGCGATAAGACCGCCGATTGTTAAGTCTATTATATTTGTAATGTCTTATGTGCTAATTTGTAAACAATAAAGATATAAATAAATAAATAAATAAAATAAATGAATTGCTACATTAAAATAACAGCCATCAGACAATTACTGTACACAGGTTTATTCAACACTAGCTGTTGCCCGCGACTTCGTCCGCGTCAATTTGTTTTGTTTGACTGCACGGATGGCGTAGTGGTTTAAGCGGTCGCCACGCCGCTTCCTACTACGCCGAGTGTTGTGGGTTCAAACCCCACATGGGACGACACTTTGTGTGATCCACAAATTGTTGTTCTGAGTCTGGGTGTTCTTTGTGTCCGTTTCATGTATGTTTGTAAAGTCCCCCGCGACACAGGATTTATTCCTAATGCGGGAGTTGTCTTTTTAAAAAAAAAAAAAAAATTAAATCTGCTTTTATGATCGCGATTAAGAAGTTTTTAAAAGAATATATTTTAAAGTACTTCTGCGTAAATGACATTTTTAGTTTTATTTTCTTGTGGCAGAAGAACATACTGATTTTCTCCGCAACCCGATCTTGACAACGCTACATATAGTTGGCCGTGTGAAAAGCAGTCTTGACGTAAATCGATTCCTACGTGTTTAAATGTTTGCCCCTGTGATTTATTAATTGTTACGGCAAAAGATAACTTAACGGGAAATTGAATCCTTTTAAAATTAAAAGGTAAATCATTTGGAATCATTGGGATGCGAGGTATAAGCACTGTTTGACCTACTGCTGGACCAGTCAAAACTATTGCAACGATCACATTGTTGCGAAGAAATTTGACTTGAAGTCGGGTCCCGTTACATAAATTTGGTGGTTTAAGATTTCTAAGTAAAATTATTGGGGCACCTATTTTTAACTTGAGTGAATGTGGGGGAAGGCCACTCGGGTTTAAAGAATTAAGAAACTCCTGTGGGTAATGGACCGCATCTTCTTGATCCATTACATTATCAATAGATGTGTAGGTAACTTTATCTCCTGGAAGTTTAGTTAAAATTAGCTCGTTAATTTCGTCAACGCTACTGTTTCTCGCCGCCAATATTGCCCTTTGACACATCCATGGATAATCTTTGTTTTCTATTTCGACGATATCAGGGTAAACTTTCGATATTAAATCCTCAATGCTAGTCACTCTTTCTCCTAAATCGCGATCAATTTCAATTTTATTTTCAAAATGAGGTACTTTCCCGTCTCCTATTAAAAGTAGCTTTGAAGGAAAATTTGTACTACCTCCCCCCAAATGTGCTCTCATATTCGTAGATAGTTTTAAGGTATGAACAAACTTCCATAATGGGGAACTTTTAAGGCAAGACTTTACAATGTCTGCTCTAGTTCCCCTTACTATTACCGGTAAAGTTTGACGAAAATCCCCAGCAAACATAACAGTAATCCCACCCATGATTTTATCACAGCTTCTAATATCTCTAAGAGTCCTATCTAGAGCCTCTACATGAGCTCTATGGATCATGGTACATTCGTCCCAGATTATTAAAGTGACGTCTTGCAAAACTTTTCCCAAAGGGCCATTTTTGCGAATAGAGCACACGCTATCTTTCTGTAAAGAAACAGTTAGAGGCAGTTTAAAAGTGGAATGAGCTGTGCGTCCACCTGCTAATAAAGTTGCAGCGATCCCTGACGACGCTACTGCTAAAGCTAGTTTTCCCTGAGACCTTACTTTTGCTAATATCAGATTAGTAATGAAAGTCTTGCCAGTTCCACCTGAAGCATCCAAAAAAAAAATTTTTCCTTCATTAAAAAGAACACTGTGCATAACACGATTGTACGCCGTCACCTGGGTATTAACTAATTTTGGTTCATTTTCAGTAATATACTCATTTAATTCATTTACATCATACGGCTTTCGCAACGCTACTTCTAACGGATCCAAATTATTATGTGAATTATTCCTTTTTGATGCAGGAAGCCCAAAATCAGTTAATGATTTATCGCAAATCTCATGAATCTTATCTTCAATTATGATAAGTCCATCATTGTATATATCATCACTATATGCTAATGTCATATCCTGATTCTCATTACGCATTCTGTTTAATATATCTTCACATAAATCATTTCGAAATTTATTCCATAACTCTAAGGGGTCAGATGGCTGGCAAAATATGAGAATGATGGTAAATAATTCTCTTAATTTTGTGGCTGGCTCAGACATGACAGCATCTGACATGGTATTTTGCCAATGTTCATCTCCCTCCAGTAAACCTAATTCCTTGCAAGCGCCTTGATAACTTTGGAAAATAACACCATTAACGGTCCTTAGATGTTCAAACGACATTGGACCGCGAACATGTTGCAGTATCATTCTTAAATAATAACATTCAGTTTGTGTTGGATGAATGTTGTAGACACGGCCTAAAGTTGTGTCTTTTTTTACACCGGGATATCCATCAACATCTTGCCCACGTCTTCTTCTAGAAAAAGAATTTCTTCCCCATACGTAATACTGGGGTACTTCGTGATATAAAAGGGTTTTTGCAAAATTGTCTCTTTTGCAAAGATCAAAGAACGCTGTAAGTGTCGTTGGTGAAGGATTGTTGACGCGATCTTGGAGATTTTCATTATTATAAAAATAAACTCTTTGTCCATTTTCCAAATGAATTGCTAAATGAACTACTGCCGGCAAACGTTCATGAATAGGAAATTGGAAAAATCTCCAGAGCGCTTCCGAGGAACTTATATAGCGACCATTTAGATATTTTTCTACTTCATTATTATTATTTTGCAACGAAAATGTGGCTTGATCAGAACCTTTATGAATATACTTACAGATGTACTTAATAGCTTTGACCGATTGACAAAACTCTACGTTAATGTGTGCATTGAAACTTCGTGATAGCACTGGATTATAGGGAACAACCCACCTGTTATCCACGCTCATTTCTGTACCTTTGACACGAATTGTTGCTGTTTTTCCACCATTATCTAGAGACCTGCGCCTGTAGGTTGGGTAACCGTCATCCCCAGTTTGTGTTTCAGAAATAAAATGCCTAGGGTACTTTTTAGAACAAATGTTTTCTTTCATACATGGTGACGCAGGATTGTGAAATCCGCAAGGACCATGTATCATATTTTTTATGACAATATTATGAAGAATTGGATCTTGTTGTTGGTCAGGTATTTCAGCCGATATTATTGCATCTATAGAATCTGGTTGTACTTTGTTAGCCAGCCACAATAAAATGTGGGCGTGAGGTAAACCTCTTTTTTGCCATTCTACGCTGTAAACGAAGGCTTTCGATGGTCCAAAGATATTTTTCTTCGTTAATAGGTCTATCATTTTCTTGAGTTTTAAATGAAATACTCTAGAAACCAAATCATGTCTGTCGTAAGAATTTTGATCGGGTAATAACTCAATTTTTATTTCTGGCCATTCGGAGTTACATGTGAATGTAATAAAGAGATCTGGTCTTCCAAACTTCCTGACGTATGTCATGGCATCTTGACTTTTTTCATTCATGTATCTGGGGGATCCTGTAAATGACGACGGCAATATAACGTGCTGGCCAATATTAGAACCGTCTATATTGCCATCATTAACCACGGCATCTCTTAAATGAATGTACTCTTCTGCTCTCAATTTTTTTTGATTTCTTTTGATGAAGTCAAGCCTCTCAGAAATCATTTTTGCCGCCATATCAACACAATATTGGTTGAATAATCCTTTGAAATAATGTATGCTGTTAAAGTCATTTATTCTCACCATGAATCTAAATGCATAAAACTGCATACATGATACAGTTTTAGATCTAGCAGCAGTATTCTGTTGTGGAATATTTATACAGTATCCGTCATTTCCAAAGGGAAACAGTAAAGGATATTGAAGTGGGTCATAAGATCTATGAATTTCAGAAACTCGTTGAAGTCTACCATCTCTCGCATTCAACACAATATCTCGGGGACCTTTGTCTTCATCTATCAAAAGAACAGCTACTTCATCTACTATTGGCGCATTATACCGACCTCGATGCTCGTTAGGAGGTTTCACATCAGCATGAATAATAAGTTTAAAATCATTCGTTGGTCTATTTTCGAGATTGTATTTAAAACTTTGAATATACATATTATGATCGTTAAGATATGTTTGGAGAGCGTCGATAAGGTAGATTTGCAAGGTTGGATTTAAATTTGAGCGCAAGGATACCTGATCTGCATGAGAAACAAAATATATTTGCAAAAATTCGGGTTGTGCACCTTCAGCTGGAAGTAAATTACCGATCAAATGATAAACTTGCCCCTGGACTTTAAAAGTCGGCATGAAGTTTCCCTCACGAATTTCTTTGGCACCAAATGAAGTCATCTGAAAAAGTGTATTATATTGTCTTGAGTGATTTAAGAAATGCTTTGAAGATGGATGTGAGCCTGATATCAGTTCTTTAAAAACTGATGTTGGTGCCGGAATTTTAGGTATATTTACTTTGCCACCACTACAACATATTCCAGGAGCTTCAGCCGCCCATTTTATTGCTTGGCATAAGTTGCATATTTTATCCATTCTGCCAATATCAATATCATTTAGCTCAGCATAGTCAAAGGTACAATCATAAGCAAACGCAGAATTCAATAAACTATGTTGCCTGCGAGTTCTATTCCTTGCTGATCGTGCATTTTGCTGTGCTAATCGATGGGAACGTTCAGCCCTTGATTCCCGTTCGCGGTTTGCCAAAGTTCGAGAATTCTGTGAGGCCAAACGTTGAGAACGTTCAGCGCTTGATTCCCGTTGTCGGTTCGCCAAAGTTCGAGAATTCTGTGAGGCCAAACGTTGAGATCGTTCAGCGCTTGATTCCCGTTGTCGGTTCGCCAAAGTTCGAGAATTCTGTGAGGCCAAACGTTGAGAATGTACAGCGCTTGATTCCCGTTGTCGGTTCGCCAAAGTTCGAGAATTCTGTGAGGCCAAACGTTGAGATCGTTCAGCGCTTGATTCCCGTTGTCGGTTCGCCAAAGTTCGAGAATTCTGTGAGGCCAAACGTTGAGAATGTACAGCGCTTGATTCCCGTTGTCGGTTCGCCAAAGTTCGAGAATTCTGTGAGGCCAAACGTTGAGATCGTTCAGCGCTTGATTCCCGTTGTCGGTTCGCCAAAGTTCGAGAGTTCTGTGAGGCCAAACGTTGAGAACGTTCAGCACTTGATTCCCGTTGTCGGTTCGCCGAAGTTCGGAAATTTTGTGAGGCTAATCGCTGCGAACGTTCAACGCTCGATTGCCTAGTAAGGTTTTGTTCACTGATCACTCGTTGAGTAGCCAACCTATGCATATTTTCATCCGCTGTTTCATTGCTGCGCAAAAGTCGCAGCCGCTTTGCAGTAGCAGTCTGCCGAGAAAGCTGAGTTCTTTTTCCAGGCATTATAGTAACGAAAAAGATAAAAGAAAAAACGTAGGCAATTAAAACTTAACTAAACCGTATCTCGTAATCAAGAAAAACAAACATAAGGTGAATAAATATGTACTTAATAATTTATACCTGCTTCTGGTACGTAAATCGGATAAAATATATGTCAAAGGGATTACCGTAAAATGATGTCAGAAAACGCAAAAAAAACTATTTAGATAGATGAATAATGTGCATTAATTATTTCGATTTCTAAACATAATAAGGTAAACTAACCGTATGCTTTAGTAAACAAAAACCTAACCTAATAAGAGTAATTATGTAGATGACACCTACTTATATGATCTACATCCAAAAAAAAAAAGTTAATTATTGTAAAAATATTATAAACAAAATAGGTACTTATCCCTAAAACAAACAATATATAGAAAACTACTACAAAATGAAAGTGTATTGAAAAAGTATTAGGTATTACACGATTAGATATAGCCGAAACAACAATAGAAAACTACTACAAAATGAAAGTGTATTACGAAAGTATTATTACACGATGATATATCGCAAAAACAAATTAAAAAATCAGTACGCTGATGTGTAATGGAAAAAATGAAATATTATAAAGGTAATTTAATTATTTCGATATTTAAACATAATAAGGTAAACCAACCGTATGCTTTAGTAAACAAAAACCTAACCTAATAAGAGTAATTATGTAGATGACACCTACTTATATGATCTACATCCAAAAAAAAAATGTTAATTATTGTAAAAATATTATAAACAAAATAGGTACTTATCCCTAAAACAAACAATATATAGAAAACTACTACAAAATGAAAGTGTATTGAAAAAGTATTAGGTATTACACGATTAGATATAGCCGAAACAACAATAGAAAACTACTACAAAATGAAAGTGTATTACGAAAGTATTATTACACGATGATATATCGCAAAAACAAATTAAAAAATCAGTACGCTGATGTGTAATGGAAAAAATGAAATATTATAAAGGTAATTTAATTATTTCGATATTTAAACATAATAAGGTAAACCAACCGTATGCTTTAGTAAACAAAAACCTAACCTAATAAGAGTAATTATGTAGATGAAACCTACTTATATTATCTACATCAAAACAAAAAAAGTGCTAATTATTGTAAAAATATTAGAAACAAAATACTATCCTTAAAACAAACAATACTATATAGAAAACTACTATAAAATGAAAGTGTATTGAAAAAGTATTAGGTATTACACGATTAGATATAGCCGAAACAACAATAGATAACTACTACAAAATAAAAGTGTATTACGAAAGTATTATTACACGATGATATATCGCAAAAACAAATTGAAAAATCAGTACGCTAAATTCAACCGTTCCGTAGGGAGCCGACCACGCGTCTGAGCCGCGCGGCATGGTACCTCGTAGAACTACATGCGAGGGTGGTGGCGGCGGCGGCGGCGGGCGGCCACCAAGCACCGCCTCCCCCTCGCCCGCCGGCCAGCGCAACTTGTGTTGTGTGAATTTTGTTGAGGAGTTATTTTAAAATTGTATTATCTTCTAAGATGTTAATTGAAATTAAGTGATGTCAAGGACAATTTTGTTCACAATTAAATACTCTTAATCAACACCACATTTATTTGGATAAGGATTAATATTATGTTGATAAAACTCTTTGGCAAATAATAGGCAATAATGCATTAATTTCGACCAAATTTGATTACCATAAAAAAGGTTATAGTGAGTCAATCTTAAAAGATAGACATATACTGTCACGGACATTTTTTTAGATCATTCAAAGAGGAATAATTCTTTTATACATATTTTTGGGTAACTTGAACCGTTTACGCAGCGCACGCAACGGAAGCCTTCAAATGTGAATAATTTTCCCCGTTTTTGCAACATGTTTCACTGATGCTTCGCTCCTGTTAGTTGCAGCGTGATGTTATATAGCCTAAAGCCTTCCTCGATAAATGGACTATCCAACACAAAAAGAATTTTTCAATTCGAACCAGTAGTTCCTGAGATTATCGCGTTCAAACAAACAAACAAACAAACAAACAAACAAACAAACAAACTCTTCAGCTTTATAATATTAGTATAGATTTTAAACAATAAGCTGTAAACTCATTCCATTAAATTAATTTATACAGATTGATACATAGTGGTATACATATCATAGTAGACATAGAGCCGACCCCAATCTAGTTTGGAAAAGGCTTGGAGGAAAGAATACGTATTGATACATGTGTAAAAGTATCTGTTAATAAAATAATATTATTTTTCGTTCTAGCAAAACTTCGTTAGTATACCTCTACTATTATATTAACTAATCTAATCTCACTTACTAAAATCCTTAAAAATAAACATTTAATAAGTATTATTATTTACTTACAATCCTTTAACTAATGATATTTTGTAAACATGTTGATTTGCAGAAGTTGCCTGTTTTAAAGCAATGTTTAAAGCTTTATCTAAACTGGCGGCAATCTAAAAAAATATTTCAATTATTCATATTGTATAATATTCTCAAAAATATAATACCTAAATTTTTATGAACGTAAAAGAGTCAGCCTAACATAATTCTATCATGGGGTGCCAAAGTACCGGAGGCGGCTAGTGGCAGACTATTTAGAGGAGCGTACCGTCGTGTGCGAGGACTGAGATGGTAATCTGAGGTGTCGGCCCATGTCGTGCGGTGTTCCACATGGGTCTGTTCTTGGACCCCTCCTGTGGAACATAGGGTACAACTGGGCCCTTCGAGTTGATTTTCCCCCTGGGCTGGGTGTAATTTGTTACGCCGATGATACTTTGGTCACAGCCCGGGGGGCAAACTTTCAAGAGGCGGCGCGCCTGGCCACCAGGGAGTCTCTCTGGTGGTCGGGCGCATTGAGGCGCAGGGCTTACGGGTGGCCCTGGATAAGACGGAGGCCCTCTTATTCCATGGGCCCCATCGTGGTCCAACCCTCCGGTGCCTCAATTGTGGTCAATATTGCACAAATTCGACTGCACGGATGGCGTAGTGGTTTAAGCGGTCGCCACGCCGTTTCCTATTGTGCCGAGTGTTGTGGGTTCAAATCCCACATGGGACAACACTTTGTGTGATCCACAAATTGTTGTTCTGAGTCTGGGTGTACTTTGTGTCCGTTTCATGTATGTTTGTACAGTCCCCCGCGACACAGGACTTATTCTTAGTGCGGGAGTTGTCTTTTTAAAAATAAAAATAAGATAAGAAAAAGATATGGTCCTCGTACCGGTTCAGGCCCAGATGAAATATGTGGGCCTGATCCTCGACGGGAGGTGGCTCTTCGACGAGCACTTCCGACAACTTGCTCCAAAGCTGGTCGGCGCTGCGTCTGCCCTTGGGCGAATTTTTCCCAATCTGGGCGAAACCAACTTCGCAACGAGACGACTGTACACAGGGGTTGTCCGGTCATACGCGGTTGCGCATTGGCCGGAACACCCCCGTGGAATTTTGAGGCAGAAGTGTTCGGCGAAGTATATCGGCGGATGGCTGAGTTCCGGGCGGATAGCGGCATTCAGCCCCCGCCCGAAGAGATACGCGAGTGGCGTGAGGCCGCTCACCGAGCCACGATGGCTCGTTGGTCGTCCCGGCTGCAGGTTCCACGTGCTGGCTTTGCCGCCGTGGAGGCACTCCAGCCGGTCATAGTCGAGTGGGCAGGGCGGCAGGACGGGACCCTTTCCTTCAGGCTGACGCAGGTCCTTTCCGGGCACAGCTGCTTCGGGAAGTACCTGCACTCGGTTGCTAGGAGGAAATTTAGTCCTGCCTGTCACCACTGCGATTGCAATGAGGACTCGGATCAGCGCACGCTGGCAATTTGCACGGCTTGGGCGTCGCAGCGCCGGGTCCTTACTGCCCTCATCGGAGGGGCCTCTCGCTACCGACCGACAACTCGGACCCAATACGTCGCCGGCGAACCGGGCGGCGGAGGTACGCTTATCACCGGCTAATGCCGCCCTGAGTGTGGCCGCGGGTGGACGGGACGGGTTTTCCCCTCCACCCGCCATAACGGCCAAGCGCCATAACGCAGTTCGGCACACGCAGACGTCGCCTAAATAGAGAATGTACCCGAAGATGGTGCCCGCGCCATTGCGGGCAGGCGATAGGAGGGGTTCGGATGTCTTAATAATGGCAGATCCCGAATCTCTCCTATTACTGGCGCAGAGTGGCACACAGTGTGGTTTTAGTCGGTCCGATTCCGACACACCCCCCCGCCGTAAACCCCGGTGAGGTGACGGCCCGAGGGGGTTTCCACACGTAAAAAAAAGGGTTTGTTTCAAGTTTTCCTTCTCTTTGCAGTGCTGTTGTCCTGCCTAGTTTGCTCCCTTAGTCGGCTCTTACGACACCCACGGGATGAATAGGGGTGGTGACATTCCGTATTCTTAAACCGTCACTACACGGACTACTACTTATATACTTTTATTTTGTAAATACATACATACTATACATAGAAAACACCCAAACTTTCAATTTGCAGATCATACAAACATTTGGTCTGACTTGGGAATCGAACCCGAAACCTCAGCACAGCAGTCACATACACTGCCACTGCACCACCGAGGCAGTCAGGCACCTTTTCATCATTGGTTATAAGCATTCATTAATGTTCTCAAAGTTTTTGAAAAAGATAAATTAAATTAATAAGAAAATGAATTTAATACAATTTTCAATGGTTTCAACATGTGACCATGGTAGAAATGACTAATCATGCATATTTTTCTGCTTATATCTTATTATTTAAGTATGATTTTTAAAATGCATAATGCATAACATATTATGTAATTACACTTAGAAAATCTTTATATACATAAAATGTTAAGTTGGTTTGTGTGCACTTCAAAAACACGAAAAGATCTGCACTGATTGAGCTCTAATATTGACACAATATAAACCGACAAATGTAAACCGCTTCAAAAATTGTGTTTATCTAATTTTCGCATCAGCTTTATTTTTCATGTCTAATTAACGCAACCACAATGTTTTAGGGCAACTATGGCACAGCCAGTTTGATATAAATATACTAGGTAAAATTTTCTTACCTGGTATAAAAACTGGGGTTGTGGATTAGGTACTGGGCAAGGCAGATAGAAGTATGGAAAAACGCCATGTACATGAAGACAGGCTTTATAACCATCAGGTGTAGGACCAAATATCCTCAGCACTGGTACCTGGAAAACAGATTTGGCTACATCCAATTAAAAATTTGTTTGCAATTTACAACCAACTATTCAGATTAGGTTTCAACAATTTCAAAGTCAGATTTTAATCTATTTACACATCAACAATTAATTAATGATTATTTGTTCATTTCATGTTCAGTTCATTCTAACAATAATTTTTAATTGTCGAATAAATTAATTCACATTATCATCACACATCAACAGCCTTTAATTGTCCACTGCTGGACATAGGCCTCTCCTTAGAAAGGAACTTTTGGCCTACTATACCACGCTGGCCAGACGGGTTGGTACAGGGTTTGTGTCAAGTTTTCATTCTGTTTGCAGTGCTATTGTCCTGCGTAGTTTGCTCCCTTAGTCGCCTCTTATGACACTCACGGGATGAATAGGGGTGGTGACACTCCATATTCTTAATACGTCACCACACAGTCCACACACACAATTAATTATTAATAAATTGTTTATCATAAAATTGTAAGAACAATTAAATTTTGCCTAATATTGCCCGATTGTGGTAATATACGATAACAATAAAACATTATGAATAAATATGATTCCTTCTTAATATAATCTTAATAATAACAAGCTTATAAAAACCAATTACGTACGCTAAAGTTTAAAAATAGGACGTATATTTGCATTAATATTGCTACAAAGGTTTCTAAAACATTAACATGCCTGTTTTACGTCAGCTCCTCTAAAATCAGAATAAATCACGTCGATTCCCGGCGTAGGTTTAGTCAAATAGTGATCACAAACTACTAATCTGACTGAAAACTCGGGATTCCCGCGATTATCTGAAATAGAATGCGTAAAGTATTGGCGCGCCAAAGCTAGTGAAATCTATATAAGTAATTTAAACCGTTTGACTCACAATCTAAGATATTCATAGTAAATCATTTTATAAATACTTCTCTAAATTATAATTTATTGTTGCACAATTTTTATTCATGTTTCAACTTGCTTCGCAACGCGAAACGAATTGAAACGATTCTATTTATTTATTTACAACCTGTACTCTGTGTTTACAACTGACCGAATGAACTCTTGACGTTTAAGCAGCTGATTGGTTTGAAGTGTCAACTTCACACGATTTAGCATCATATATGAAGCACCTATAGATATGGTTAGTGTCCGAAAGCACAGTGAATCTGTTAGACAGAATCCGTACTTATTCACCATGAAAGGTCGAAGTACAGCTAAAACGACAAAATTCAGAGAAAACCGGTGTTGAGCAATTATTTTCTTAATTTTCAATTTCGTGAGTGGGGATACCAGATTCCTACCTCAATGTTTTATGCAAAGTGTGCTACGCACTTGTATCGCTTTTACCTCTTGAGCTGCACGTGTCTATAGGTGGCTTCAAATGATCCGTTTGCTCGTGCGATGACGAAAAATTTTATGCACTGTATAAGTAACTTTCAGATCCTATATTGTTAATATAGAATATCGAAGTTACTCGTATAGTTTGTATTAATTATTTTTCAAAAAAAAAAAACTTATAGTGGAACATAAAACCTTCTCCTTTTTGAAGTCGATAAAAAATTGAATTGAAATAGTAATAGTATGTTTAAGTTTTATCTTGACTTATAAATTAAAAACAAAACTTGTGTGTCTCCCTAAAGTATTTTGGAATTTTGATGACTGGTCATCAAGTGATAATAATGTGGTACCTCTTAATTATGATACCTTTGATGATGCTATTAATGCCATTAATAATATTTTTAATGTATCTACTACCTATTGTATATGCTTATCTATATAGAAATGTATAGTTGGTTTGTGTACGCTTCAAAAATCAAAATTTTCTGCACTGATTCAGTTTAAATTTTAATAAAATATAAAAACCCCTTCAAATATCGTTATAAACTATTTCCAATTGTTTGTATTCCAAGTCATTTTTGTTCTTAATTTCTCATCCATTCAACAAAATTGTTCCATGGCGAAGCGTGGAACATTGTTGTTACAGCTAGTAGTTTCAATAAATACACTACAACAAATTATGTTTTTGGTCATGGATCTTTCTATGGGTAAATATTCTAAGACTTGTGTCATCTGTGGTTTTCCCATTATTTAGTTCATCAGTTCAATTCAGTTCACGTCACTCACTTCTTTTATTTCATTCATTCACTGGAAATTGGTCGTGTTTTTGTAATTTACATTCTCAATATCATTGCGTTGCGTACTACTTTTTGAATTAAATAATTCGAACTTTAATTGTTATTGTGGTGAAGTGAATTTAAAATTTTGTGTTTATCTCGAGTGAAAAGTGAGGCGTTGCATACAATTTAGAAAAATGTAATGATTCGTGAAAATGAAGTGTTCTTTCAAACAGAAACTAAGCAAGGAAATAAAATTATTTGTTAAAAGATAAGAAACAACAACGGGGCCATGGATGATGAAGAGGCAGACCTTCGTGAACAGATATTCCACAACAACGTTAGGGAGCAAATTGTGAGTATTTAAACAAAGACTTGACTTGTTATTTTGTCTTTATTGTTGAACATTCTTTGTTTCTTGTTTTTCTACCAAAAATACATAAAATAACATGCAGTTTACATGTGTTTTAAGACAGTAATCAATTTTTGATGATCAGTAGCATGTTATTTCTTAGTTCAACAATTGGATCAAATCTATTTTCTGTTAGAGGCCAGAGATCAAGGGGAACCTCATAATTACACCATCTATTACTGTTACTATGTCAGTGGCACTTCATCATGGCAAACACATTTGCTATTCAAATAATTGTCATACAAAAAAATTAACTCTATTTAAAATATAATCTGTAAATTATTTCTTTGACCTGGGTGCATGCATGCATTTATTATTAATGTAATGAAACATGTTGCCTATTCTATATTTAAGAGTAAGAGTAAGAGCAGGGATGGTTGTATTAATACCTACTCATATTGTCCCTTGATGATTGAAATTCTCACATCCCTTATTCTCTACTATCTATTATCATTCATTCTATTTTTTTATGATAAAAGTTCTTTAGTAAGTTAATTAAAAACACACGTTCGTTTTGGACAACATAATACAAAATTAAACTCTCGAGTATTGTACTATTAAGTGTGTCTATTTTGTATGTATGCTTTTATATGTATTAAATTGGTTGTGCTCAAGGTTGTTTCCATTTAAAGGTAGTAAATAAAGAGATGAAGAAGACAGATTCGTACAATTTATAATCATGTAGGCACTTTAAACTTGGTAATATTTCTTATTAAATAGATTCATAGGGTAAGGACTTTTAGAGGATATCACAATAGGTTTGAAAAAAAATAGTTTAAACTGAGTTAAATATTGAAACAAATTTATTTGAAGTAGTCACTTTAGATAGTAAGTAACCACTTTTATTAATAAAAAAGAACAGTGGGAACACAAGAGGTGTTTATCATAGAATCAGCGTAAGTAGATCTTATAGAATCTGGATTCATATTACTCGAATAACTAATTGGATAGTTAAAAATTGATATAGTACAGAATATTAAAGCTGATCAGTGTTTGTCACTGATATTAACTTAATTAATTAATTAATAATGAATCTGAAGTGTAAGGCTTTACAGTCTACTTGTTTACTGAGGGTGCTGTAAGCATACAGAATTATATGTAGAGTAGCTATGTCCTAAAATAATTAACTTCCTTTCTTCCTTTACTTTACCCCGTTACATAACGAAATTTTTAAAAATTCTTTCTTTATGTATTCTTACAATGTAAGAAGCATCAGCGGCCGAAGTTTCAAGTCTAGCTCTAGCGGTTTAGGGTCCTCATTTATGAATGAGTTAGTCAGGGCAAGTTATGTTATATGTATAGATAATTCATACATCTCGGGAATCAATCCTCGAACATTTAAAGATTTCTAGATGACTCATGTGTGTATATAATATATTTGTTACAGGGATGTTACAGATATGAAAATTAAGATGTGGATACGGTTTTGATTATGGAAATAAAATAATTCTAGTTTATCCTAAAGAGTCCGATGGCTTTGGCTATGGCTATCAAGTTTTATTTCTCGGTTATCATTTGCTAGTAAAATCTCTTAAAATAAGCCTTAGAAGCCGTGGTCAGAATCAAAGTTAGCATGTTTATGAACTAACATACACACATAATGGGCTAAAGGCATCTCTTTTTCAGAAAATATTTTAGGAGTTGACTTATTCATTAAAAGTAAAACTCAGTACAAAGAAAAATGCACTAAAATATATCAAATTCATTATGTAATAAGTAATAGAGATGAGTATTTTGTAATAACATAATTACAAAACACTTTTATAAAATTAATAGTGTTGTTGGAGCTTCAGTGAGCAGAAATGTAAATAAATACTCTTCCCAAATACTAACTGGCGGAACATAGAAACAAAGTAATACATAAAGATCGTGTAATGTAAAAAAAAAGTCAAAGTCCATAAATTAAAGAATCCTCGAGAAAGTTCCAGAAGGCGGTATATATATACAAGCCAAGGTCTTTGAGCCAACATGTTCTTATTGCAGATAATACATGTGCGTAGTTCAGTAAGTCATTGTGCTATATTCAAATAAGGCCATGCATTAGGGTGCGTTTCCACTGACCGGAGCTGGACGGCGTGCAGAGGAGCGGACTATGAATTGCTCAAAAACTCCACACTGCATCAGTGGAAAAAAGTGTAAGTGGAGCGAAGCGAGCCTTGAGCCGGACAGAACCGAGTCGAGCAAGCTGTGGTGCCGAATCTATGTTTTCTTTTAGTATCGAGATAAAATGTGGCAAACCGTTCTACTTCATCTGCTACTGAATCTTCATCATCTAGTAGAGAAAGATGTAAAAGCGCTGATCTTTTCTTTACCGACAACTTGTGGTATGAGTGAGGCGAACACGGCTTAATGCAGCTCTGGTCTTCTCAGATCAGTCAGACTAGTCAACTCAGTCCCACTCCGCTTCAATGGAAACATTTGCCATTTATCACAGCTCCTCTCCGCTCCACTCTGCCCAGCTCCATGTCAGTGGAAACACACCCCTATTCTAATAAACAAAATAACTTGAGATACTCTACTTTGATTAATTACAATCATTAACTTAATTATTATTAACTTAATCTTTCGACGCACCAGATTTTTGTAGTATTAAATACTGTTCATTTAGAACCTGGTGACATGGCATAATCTACTAATACATAACAATTTTTAAAGCACGCAAAGTATATACGTGTAATTTGGTTTATTGGTCCCAAATTGGGTAGGGCCTGTGCTACGGTAACCAGACTGCTGATAAACAAATCTATTATAGATAAATTACACCGAGATACAAATGATCTAGTTTATCTTATCTACGAATATTTGTACGAGGTGGGAATCGAAGCCACGATCTCTACTGGTTTGCTTACCTATCAAATCTCGAAGGCATGTCCATATTCATACAAAAATTTGTCTTTGTTTCCCCTAAATCATTAAATCTACATCGACCTATGCTTCTAAGTGATTATTGTAACTACTCATTTTTATGTGTTATCTAAATTGAAATAATTGGTCAAAACACGTCTTCATTATAGCAATTTATTATATCACTTATAGGTAGTTTTAGATAGATTTGTATTTTGGATATCCTATAATTTCGAATATATATGTATATGTACATTTATACGCATAAACAACATGAGTTTCCATATTCCACCATGAACGTTTATAAAATAAGAGATATTTAAAAAATAATAATTTCTCCTTGTTTCAGATTTTTCTATTATTATTCATTATATTGTATCTCGTATCCTTCATGTTAATCGAAAAATTCCGTCGTCGGGATAGTGAAGACTATTTCACGGGTGATGAAGATGAAGTTAAAGTATACCGGATAAGTCTCTGGTTGTGCACATTTGCACTGGCAGTGTCACTGGGCTCTGCGCTCCTTTTGCCTGTATCCATAGTCAGCAATGAAGTGCTTATACTGTACCCAAACAGTTACTACGTAAAATGGTTAAATAGCTCTCTAATACAGGGTAAGTGACTATTTTAATTTATTAATACACACTACCTCTTGTTATAACATGTATAGTGCTCTTTTAATTCTGCATGCTTTGAAATAGTGACTGCCGCCTCTAATGCAACACCTGCAACGCGAAAGTCACTAGTGCTTTACCGCCCCTTTGAGCTCCTCCCCCAGAATTAGAGGAGAGTTTTGGCTCCGGCAACCTCACTCCTAGGTGAGACCAAAAGCAATGAATTAGGAATTACTGTCATGTGACGTGAAACCGTAACTAAACTGTCTTGTCTTCTTATTGCTGGTTGGGAATACGTACGGTAGCAGCGAGTATGTGACACCGAAGATGTTGTGTGGTACAAAGTACGCAGCTCTTTAGGACAATAATAATATGTTCTTTGTATAGGTCGTACACACGTAACAATGATTGTTTATGAAGTTTATACTTTAATAAAACATTTTCATATCAATTTCCTTACCATTTTCTCTTCTCTGACTCACAAGTTAACATTTCACTGCTTGTTGTGCACAATTAGACATTTAAATTTACTGTCATGTCTTAGACGTAAATACTTTCAAAATCTACACCTTTCTCGCTGTAAGACATATTACGGTACTTTGGTCGCTTACTATTGGTATTTGTAGGATATTGACATAGATTTTATTATATTACCAAATAAGTGTAGCGGCATCTTAAGATATACAGAGCAGAGATAAGTCACAATCCTTAAGTGAATTCGATAGAGATTCACATATTATGTTTTAAAAGGATAAATTCAACATAGCACAAGACTGTCCACAACCTGTCCTATTGAATTTTTCTCAGTTTTTAATTTTGTTAACAACAATCAGTATTTTCATGTAAAATAATAATAATAATTTATCAGGTTGATGGTTTATGAAAAAAAACAGATGATGTAAGATCTTACTGATGTGAAATAATGGCAAAAGAAGACAGTATTGTCATTAGTATTGCTTATTGTACAAAACAAAGTAAATATTTGATTTGTATTATATGGTTGAATGAAAATATAGAGTACTTCGATGTGATGAAAAATACTTAACTATTGCGTAGTTGTTTAAACGGCTATGGTACGTTAGTATTCACGTTTTAGAGTAAATACTTAAATATCTATTTTCTAACAAGAATTCAGGCATTTTTTGTCATAAAGTGTTTTGAAGTTAATAAGCTAGGATTTATTATAGTGCTAAGCCAAGCCATTTTTTTTTATTACAAACTTTATTACAACTACCGCAATACAGATAAATCCCTATGCCGTAAGAACTTTTGAAATACATTTAACATTAATAAAGAAAGTACACAGCCCCATAGTAAGTAGGTATTTATAAAGTATACAAACAAATTGTTTGTTGAAGAGACAACTATAAATCGATATAGTAGCAGTCAGTAAAGCGTCACCTGACTGTTTATAATTAATAGCGAATGTCTTAAAGCGTAGCTGATTAGTTGCCTTCTACATACAAATAGCACAGTGTTTAAGTCGTTACTCACAATCTGCCAATGTCCTTTATGCCAAACTTCGACGGTGTCACTCACTCACATTGTTAGTACAATTCTTCAATACTCGAGTAGGACAGCTATTTATGTGTTTTTCTGAGTGATTGTGTACTTTGTATGCGATAATTTCATGCTTATCGTTTTGTTTCAGGACTGTGGAGTCATGTGTTCCTGTTTTCCAATCTCTCCATGTTTGTGTTCTTACCGTTTGCCTATCTGTTTTCGGAGTCTTCTGGATTCCCTGGCTGTAGAGGGCTTCGAGGAAGAGTATACGAAACGTTCATAGTTCTCGCCTTACTAGGGGTTGCAATGCTGGGCCTTGCCTACGTAATATCTGCTTGGCTGGAAGGCGATCGATCCAGTATCGATGCATTGCTTAGTAAGTATGAGATAATTTTGTTTTTTTGTCACTCAAAAAGGCTCGTTTAAAGAGGCAGAGTACATTTCTATCGTACGACGCCGGCATCCGATTATATGTAGGTCTACTTACTATCACTAGCCCTCGCGCTTAGACATTAGACACATTAGGTTCTGCAAACAACCTGCCTCTCTTTGTCAATAATAATAAAAGTTGTATGGGTATGTTGCCGCATGATTAAAATTGGACTTTGTTTATTTTTTGTTAATTTAATGTACTGTTCTGTGTCCAAACTAGCCTTAATAACTGTGAAAAAAAAAAGATTCGAGCTTCATTAATTTATTACCGAAACAATGTGCGTCATAACGTTTTTAGTCAACAATTCATTAAATTGGAGTTTTTGTATGCATCCATAGCCACGATAATTATTACCCTTTAGTCACATATACTCCACTGAATCAAAGTGCCCACTGTATCAACGCCGTCAGTATCAAAATGTCCATTAAAACGTTAATTTATCAAAATGTCCTTTTTACCAAATGGTCTAATGTTTTTTTTTTTTGGTAATATCTAAACTGGCAATAAAAATAAATTATGATTTTCTTTTTTAAAGGTGGACATATGGGAATGTGTACCTTATGATATGTGGACTTTATGATATGTGGACATTATAATATCGTGAACTTTATGATATATGGACCTTATGATACCTTAGACCTGATGATACCATTGACCTTTTGATACTGAGGACATTTTTAAACAGTGGACACTTTGAATCAGTGGACTTTATGTGACTAAAGGACTTTTGTACAAACGTAAACATCAAATATCGTAAACAAGAGACACCCCAAGGGAGTGCGTGTGTGTAAATGTAATATGCGCAGCGGAACTTGAGTTATGGGAAATATTTACAAAAGTGACATTTGCAGACAGACGTTATGTCGAACCTAACCTAGTAACATACTAACATTGCCCCGCTTCTAACTAACGGTGCAACCTAAGTTAGGTACTAGGAGTTTCCTATAACAATGTTTGTCCCTCAAAAGTATGTCGAAAAAGTTTTCAAGGTCTGTATAGATTCCACGACGGTTTCGCATCGCAGCATTGAAATAGCGTCGTAAATGACCTCGTTCGCTTTCAGCTCTCATGGAGACGAAGTTTCAAAGCCGGCGCCTCGTTGTAACCACAATGCGAAACATGAGCTTTCCAACTAAAATCTAATAAAGGATTAAGGACCCCACAACCTTAAAACAGTCTCTTAATTTTGTAAAACTTATAACGGCGTGTCACTTAATATATTTTGTGTCTAATATAATTAAGGGGATTAAACGAATCGATAAAAACTCATTATCAAAATCCGTTAGGCCGTTTGCATAAGGATGCTTCGTTGTAATAGCGAATATTAGTTAAATACTTAGAAACTCCTGAAGAAATATATTTTGGCAAATTTTGGGCGGTCGGAGCCACCGGTGCTGTGTACAGTGCCATTGACCGGACAACCCCTGTGTATCCATCCAAATTGGGAAATGGTTGCCCAAGCCTTGCTTTGCAGCAAGCTGTCGGAAGTATCGTTGAAGAGCTACCTCCCGTTAAGGATCAGGTCCAGATACATCTGGGGTGGGCCTGACCCAGTACGAGGACCGAGTTGATCACGATTGAGGCACCACGGGGTGGACCACTATGTGGCCCATGAAATAAGAGGGCCTCCGTTTTAGACAGGACCACCCGTAAGTCCAGCTCCTGAATGATGTCAATAGACTGCAACGATGGCATATAGCATAATGGTTTTAGCGGACTACACTTTGTGTGATCCATAAATCGCTATTCTCCTGCGACACAGGTATATTCCTAGTGCGGGAGCTAATTTAAAAAAAAAGCCCCCGACCATCATAGAGATACCCCTGGTGGCCAGGCGTGCCGTCCTCGGGCTGTAACCAACCTTTTCAGTTGTGGGGAGGCCTCCTCGACGGCCCCAGTCGTACCCTATGTTCCACAGGAGGGTTCCAAAAACAAACCCCTGTGGAAGTCGGCACGACATGTCGCCGGCCCATGGGTCGTCGTCTCAGATATCTATCTTGGACTTGGTACATGTTTGGTACTTATTAGTGAATAGACGTATTAGACGTCTATTAGTGGAGTAATAGGGGAGTGCCTCCCTTAGAAGATGAATGATGTCCAACGACACCGCCAACAGCACACCGCGCCGCCACGGCTCACCGCCTCTTCAGTTAGGATCCTAAGGCGCAACACAGCACTCAGTCGAACGACCCGCTCGAAAACCGAATCGGCATTGCGGGCAGAAATAACCCTCTCAGTGTTTTAAATCTATACCTGTATTCTTCACTCCTAAGAGCAGTGTTTTTGCTCGACCCCAAACAACGCTTAATGTTAGGTTATCGCAATACTTAATAGTTATCAAATCATGATCATTCATTCACTTGATATGAATAATAAATTAGTGATAAGTAGTTTATCAAATAGATCAAAATTATAAAAATAAGATTTAAAATGAGAACATTCGAACGAAGTTATGGATTTATTCTAGTAGGCGTACATTCTTCTTCTTTTCTTTATGCATATTTTTTTTCATGTACATATTATTATGCGTAGGTTTACCACTGTAATGCAGAAGTTAAACAGGACAGATGAATACACAAGTGACGAAAAATTGTACAGGAAACTGACTAAACAAGGGACTAAATAAACTAGCGAATGACTATATCACGTTAGTAAATGCGATTAATGCCTTTGAGGTATAAGCTAAATGATCTCGGTGATGAAAAGTTTACGTACCTCTAAGCAAACTACGAAAGTGTAAGTATAGTCAGTAAAAAAAAAGGGTAGCTGTAATAATTAACGAAAACGTAACACACGAGCGGACCCAAACCCTGACCGTCAAACCTCCGATGCGTATCAAATGTATTATTCATTATTCACATTTGTCATTGTTTGTCTGCAGGTCTATGGACGTACCTTCCATTCCTCTATTCTTGTGTGTCGTTCGTCGGCGTCCTAATGTTACTTGGTGAGTCAACTTCCTATAATATTATCAGTAAATCAAAGTATTACTATGTAATTGCTTTAAATGGCGTCTATATTAAGTGATTTTTGTAAAGGAGGTGACATATTGTTCGTATGAAATTGATTTTTATATTTTACAAAGATGGCTGATGATTCTCATGGCTCATTGGGGATGGCTAGGAATAAAATTGATAACTACAGTTATTAGAGGTGGAGGAATTTATAGATTTTAGTGGCCGGTTAGCATTACGCGAGACATGGCCGTACCTGATTGTTCTTTACGATAAAATAAAGTTCTCACTTAGGTATTTCATTCTGCGCACAAAAACAGATCCAACGTGTATCTATTACTACTTGCTTATCTATGCCCGTCAGCTGCACATTATCAATAGAATGGTCGTTAACTTCCCTTTCTTTCTCGTAAAAAGTAAATAAACATATACCAGTTCTGTACAAGTTTTTATGAAAACATTTCGTCACGTAGGAATTTTATTGCTCATTGTTTATTTAATATTATAAATCAAGAATTTGAAGAATAGCGCGTGACAGAAAAATTAATTAATTCGATATACTTTCGTTTAACTTTAAAATTAAATTATTAAACTTTAAAATTTGCTCACGTATCAAGGCCCGATGGTAAAATACGTCTAAAAAAACCTAAAACAACTCGCTTTAATAGCAAACCAAATTAAAAAGTAAAAGTAAGTTTTATTGTAGTTTTTTGTTAGCTATTTAATAAGTAGTTATTATATTATTAACTTGTAGCAGAGTCATAAAAAGCAATGGCTTTTTATGACTCATTGTTATACACAATTGTTTGTTTTATTTGTTACATATATTTTTAACCATAAAATTATGACACTGTAAATTCGGTCGGGTTGAATGCTACGTACGCCTCATCGGAAGCTGTGGGAACGATACAAGAACATGTGCATTTGACACAGGCTACTGCGGTCACCTGCGGTATCCACCTTTTTAGTACTTACAGTACCAATACCTCGAAAAGAGTATTAAAGGGTTTTTACCTGCTAGGATTGCCGGCAATGCCGGTATTGTGTCCAGCAGTAAAAGCGGACAAACTTTTGATACAATCGAAATGTTATGAAGTTATACAACATTAGATAGCCCCGTGTAATACTTGCTTATGAATACACTAGTCCTTAACCCATTAAAATGGATCGATATCACTTGGATAAAGTTTTATTCACACAAATGACACACGTACATACATAACATACATAAAGTAAATTTGAAACAAAATTGCAACAAACAATCGTTCGGTATGCGTCTAAACAAAACCAAATAAAATTTTAAATAAATTAATTAACGACTGCATTTTTATTTTCACACGTCTGCTCCTCATTCAGTCGTCATCTTCCTCTTGCTCTTCTTCGAAATCACCGTCCTTCTTTTCAAGAAAGTATTTGACAAGTTTTTGGTGCTGTGGAAATTTATCATTCAGCTCTTTTTTGCATTCTTCTAATTTTTCTAATTCCTCAAGTTCTTTGTATGCTCTTGCTTTGTAAATTCGAGCTTTAAAACTGTTCTCATTAAGACGAAGTGCCCAATCGCAGTCTTGGAAAACCTTAAAAAAATATAAGTAAGAACACAAATAAGATTTTGTTACGATTATTAATGATGATAAAACATAGGTTAGATAGATTCATGCATTTGGCAAAAGTTGTGTTTCACGATTATATTTCATTTATCACCCGACAAATGAATATAAATTCAATAAAAAATTGCGTATTGATTTGGAAATTTAGCCAATTCATAAGTATGTATTCGGGCGGGACATTTCGGTGTGCTACCTCTGCTTGTGGTCACAGGCATTTGGTTAAAAGCAAGGCAGGACAAGTAAAGAGAAAATTCTGAAAAATAAAAAAGTTGAAAATTCTGGTAAATTTTGGTACTTACAAGTTTTCGCGAAAATCGAAATTTGCCCATATCTTTTTATCGTATTGACTCAGGACCTTGATTTTATTATACCTAATAGGGACCATAGACTTCAGTATCTGGTATAAATTTCAACTTGCTTGGTCTCTACCAGTTCCTGAGAAAATCGGTGGTGACACAGGACAAGAAAGTGATCTTATAAGGGTTCCGTTTTTACCTTTTGAGGTACGGAACCCTAAAAAGGAAAATATGAGAGGAATGCAATAAGGGAATATTACAAATACATCTGCATATAAATCATTATCATGATTATCATCATCATCAAGCCTTAATTAAAGACAAAGATAAAACAATATAATGTTACATATCCATTGAACGCCAAAGTTCGAAGTTTAGCGGATTCAACCAAAATATCACCATAGTGGAATGTTATGTACATAAATATGTTAGAGCCCCGCCCCTGCCCTTGAATAAAAAACGGGCACTTCTGAGGGACTAAAACCTTATTTACTGAACTCATAACTTTGTAGAAATGAACTCCTTGTTGTAACTTGGTAATTATTGCTGTAATACTATTATGAAATTACGATAATATTTTATCTGTTAACTACAGGATTTTTGACGATAACGATAAAGATTGGACTAGAAAGTATGACTTATCGATAATTGTCTATGTAGATATTACACATTGACTTTATCAAAAACCATTTATGCATGTCTTGCACGACTTTCATTAACAACCGCAACCTGGAGTTGCGGTTGTTAATGAAAATCGTGACCCTTTTCACCCTTATCAACTGATAAGGTTGAAACGCGTCACTCTTCAGGTGATATTTGCAAAATTTTATTACAATTGGCTCAGAGATTTAGTCGTGCAAACTAAAAAACGGACAGACCTTCTCTATTGTTGTATTAATTGATAAAACCTTCCCATCAATATCATAATGTACCAGTAAATAATGTATACCTGTTCAAATTTTCGCAATTTGATGTTAGTCAGCGCGCGGTCGCAATACAACATAGGGTCGTCTTTAACCTGTTCTATAGCCTTATTGTAGCAAGATAGCGCTTTATCGTACTCTTCACGGCGGAACGCCTTTACTGCGCGAGTCTTCAAAGTGTTCGCTTTCTCGCGGCGAATCTTGCGGTCTTCTGCACGTCTGTCCGCATCTCTGCCCATTTCTGCCATCCAAACGTCTTTGTCCATTTCACCCTAAAAGTATAAAAAAAATAGCTAACAAGTATCAGTTACCTTTTATTGAAATGCGCCATCGAAACATGGAATTAAGGTAAAGTCTGATGTCGTAAATAGTTTTACTAAGTGTTGACCAGTTAAACGGTAAAAGTACATATCCAATATTGTCAAAACAACGCTGTGTAATTGTGTCAACAATTGCTCCAAATTCCTATCAACACATTTACTAGTATTCATTAAATGCATTACGTACATATATATACATATATACATTTTTAAGTAGGAGTTTTATCGCAACGTAAGTATGAAAAGGTCCTTGAAAGAATGAACTATTCTTTCAAGGACCTAGTGATGCAATGTGTCCGTTCCTGCAATAGAATGCCGATTTTGCCACGATATTAAGTATTATATGTATAGAGACTGATCTAAGCAATGGTACTCGTATGTTACTCTACAACACAACAAGTTACTACAATTATTTTCCTAATAAAGTATTAGGATGTGTTGGTTATAATATCCGTAGTGTTTTCTAAAGAAAATTATAAACCAAATAAAAGTATTCGTCCAAAAATAAAATGGTCTATAAAAATAAATATCTAACACCTGTTATTGATTCGCCACGTTCCGCAAATAGTAATGCAAATGCTTAGTACAATGAAGCTTTGCAATTCATAAATATAACATTAATGGTGTTAATAACAGTTTTAGTTCGAAACATCTGACATCAGATACTGAACTTGAGCTAAAAATAAAATCGTTGGTATCGTACACACTGACCTCATTGAGTGCATTCTTATCGGTTTCAAACCTAACATTAGTCAAGGAATAGATACGTTATAAAAATATCATTTTTTGCTACTACGGACGCAAATATGCGCAGATGGCCAATGCCTTACCGAACAATTCATTGTTTTCATACCAAAGTCTCGCAGCAGCATGTGGGAGTCAAGCGCCCAAAGGCCAAATTGTATTTCCGATTGACCTGATTTTTCCGGTACTAGTCACCACCTCTGACGATCCCATCTAGCTTGCAAACTAGACAGACTTTTCGTTCTGTCTGACCTATCAGTATCACAGGAAAATAGTGAATGGAGCAATTTTTTATACAATTGTAGAAGCTAAAGCTTCTAATATCGACTTAAGGTCGATTTACATTATCCTACTTGTAAAGCGTTAGCTAGGGCATTAATTAACAGCAAAGTCAACAGAAGACTAACTTCCTAACCGCACTTGGATAAAATAAAATTAACATACTAAGATATTTAGCCTACATAAGCCGATAGTGTAATATGTACTTCAGGTAAATTTTATTATGGGTTTAGGGTTTAGTATACTCTATTACTAGGTATTTGTAAAGTCCTCCTTAACTCGACGATATTACGCGGGAGCTTAAAGTAGTTTATTGTCGTAGAAGTCGCCACTAAAACATGATTAAATTATTGATTTTGGTTGAAACAATACTCAGTTACTGGCCATCGAAAATAATGTTTCCCCTGTATATATTCGTGTTCAACGAAAAATTCTTATACACAAGTAGAGAGAAAAGTATCTGGTAACGCGAGGTAAATGTTTATTTATAGAGAAACGCGAGCCAAATTGCTTTCACCGATACGATATGTGTACCTACTATCTCGGCAAGTCAACTATGAAAATGCCAGAAATTCTCAAGTGATGTACTAAAAAAGTCATTCAGAATTTCACGTTTAATTTCAGACCTGTACGAGTTGAAAATAATTTATATAATACAAAATGGATACATCACATATACCAAACATGCCCCAGGTACTTTGAGTAAATCAAAATGGTTCTTTAGGGGAGAGGGCTCGCAAAGCGGGCACGCATCAAGTGCGTGTTTTTAAAATTTCATGTCTTCAAAGCCACCTACATAACAATTAATTAAAGACCGCTGTTGTAGCTTTACTAAGTAATAAGTAATGTGGTCGCTACGTAGGATAGGCGTTGTCATCACCAACGAATGGTAAATAAACTAACACGCTTTATTGATGAATTTTCGTTGAATTAGAAAAGTTGACGACAATTTATCACGTTTTGTTATTTTGTGTCGTATTTACACTATATAACAATGTATACAGAGGTGGTATGCATGCAATGTTATTTCACATTAACACGGACTGAGAAGTTCCTATACCATATCGAAAAGCAAAGCAAAAAGCTAATAGGTTAAAACCTATTAGCTTTTTGCTTTGCTTTTCGATAAAGCTAGGTAGCTAAAGCTACCTAGCTTTGTAGCGTTAAATACGAGCGTATTGTATTGAGTTCGTGATGGGTGAGTAAGGTCACTAGAGGTAAGGACATTTGATTCTGGAGGGGCAATTGGTTTGCTTATAGAAGAATATTCAACAAATACGATTTTGTATCTATATGCAAGCTATGTGCCTAGTTATCCTGCCTTAATAGTTGAAAAATACATAGAAGAATGATTGAAACCAATACTAAATATATTAAAAGTATGACCTACAAAGATCAACACTCATTAATTGTACCACGCAGTTTAAAATGCTTTGGCACATTGTTATGCTATTGTCGTACACAGAAATTATATTTAAATATTTATATATACCATCTACGTGATGTCTTTTATTTTGTTTTATGTACTCCTAAGTGCATACATGTCTGGAGTATAGAATGTTAATATAGAACAATGGACACGGTCAAATCATTTGTTTTATGAGCAGCATAGTTTTGACTGATAACCTAGTTTCATAAGGTATTGAGTAATAATATATTTACTAAAATTATTATTATGAGCCGTGTGTGCACGCATCAACGTCGTAATTAGACAAAAACATAATGTCAACGAATTCATTTTTTACAGCTTCTAATACACTTTGCCAACACCTTTTGTCTAACAGACATTATTTTCTTTTCTACATCCATACTTATATCTTTTAAGTAATGTTTTAAGTGAAGAATGAAATTAATAATTCACGTAAATTTAAGTGGCTTTTCTGGTCTATCCGTGATACCTCTACGTAAGATACGGACTGTCGTTAAGTCTGATTTTCGAAGTAGATTAGGGAAGCGATTAGTGCCTTGGTAAAGTTAGATTAAGGAATATTGAAACCTATTATTTAGTGTTCCAGATATTTAAAAATTTAATCTTTTATTATTAAGTTTAGAATTTGTATTGATCTAGAATATAATTATATTCTTATAATGCTACTAATCATTTATTACTTTTATAATAATTTTCAGAATGCCTAAATTTTATAATATAGTTTTTACATGCATTACCCTAGTTCATTAAGTAATGTTGGCTGTTACAGGTTGATAATGTTCATTTCTCTAAAATTGATTAGATTAGATTTTTGGTTTAATTTGTATTTGTTCTTTTACTGTGAATATACTTTAAATATTGCTTTTAAACAAAATCAATTGGTGTAATAACATCATTGTTCTACCCGTCAGTGTTTGGTATAATAATAATAGTCTTCATTAAAATAGAACCGATATAAATACGAGGGGTGTATACGGAATGTGGGATACGACTTTTATATTTAGTGAGCAGTTAAAACTTAATAATTTATAAACGTATAGTCATAATAATACTATATCTACCGCATCTTTGTTATCGAGAGTCTTGAAAGCCTTCTGATTAATCACAGTACGGTTGGTTTTTACTTTTAAAGGCACGTCGTCATCCAATATTATTTTGCCCGACAAATATTCGTCGGCTATAGCTTGTGCACGGTCAGCTCTCGCTTTGTCACCGCTGGATAGGTCTTTCACCAGCTTTGAAACTTCCCCTACTTTCTTCATGAAGTTGTTGAATTCTTCATTAATCTCAATTGCTTTTGGATCTTTCATTGCGACACTCTTAAGCGATTCATTGAAACTCATTTTTTTAATGTTTTGGTATAGTGTGTTATTAAAACATTACAGTCGTGTTTGTGAAAGAAAATAATAGTGACTCCGTATTGAAGTAACAACAAACATAGCAACCGTTGTCAAGTCAACGAGAAAAGAAATGTCGGGCGTGGGCCGGTGACAGCACAAAATAAACTTTTTGATATTTTCGTAACAGCCAGTGTTTATTATACTATTAAAATACGCCAATGTAACTGAAAAACTCAGCTACATACATACTGTAGCTCTCGAGACTTTTTATATTGATGATGTCTGTTCTATATATAATTCAAGGTGAAAAAGAAATGCTTCCGTGCAAAATTTGAACACGTGTTCTTTTTGTTTTTTTTTTATATTCTGATTAGATTAAGGATTTAAACAACATCGTATAAGAGTGCGGGCCCTAGGGAAAGCGAGAAGAGCAGTCCCTCTTGGTGACACTGGCAAAGAGCGCCAGAAAGCCAAACGCTAAAAAGAATGTCCATCTGAAAATACAACTTTTGTGGTGCTTTAAAATTTTATGAAAATAGCGTACTCCTTCCTATAAGGGCGGCAACGCGTTGGTGACCCCTGAGTTGCAGGCGTTCATGGGCGGCGGTATTCACTTCCATCAGGTGACCTGTCTGCTCGTCTGCCCCCTCTTATATTAAAAAAAATCATTCAGGCCTTTATTGCAACTTTTATATACATGAATAACAGATTTTATTATTTAGTTTGAAATATCATAATCATCGAGTATATCTACTAGCTGACCCGGCAAATGTTGTTCTGCCATATGTCTTTATTAGGGAGGGTAATTGGACGGATGAAAAATACTTTAATACCTATTTTCATACCTACCAAATATAAAAAAATAATTTCATTAGAATCAGTCGAGCTGTTTTGTAGGAGTTCGCCCACAAACACCGTGACACGAGATATTTCGATATTAGATAATTAATTTATAATAATGAGCAAATTAATTTAATTAAAAAGAAAAGCTATAAATATTGATATTTGGAACACTTGCTCCCATATACCCAAATCTTTAAGTTTGTTAAATTAGCAAAAATCGAGAAAAAAATAAGAGAATAATAACTTGTATAAAACAAGGCTTAAATATTTTTAAATTTAATAAAACGTACAACAGGTGTGTAATTAATAGTTTAAAAGCTGCAATGAACTGATAATTTCATCGCCATCGGCGTCTTAACTATTTTAATTTTAACTTTGTTGAAGTTACTAAATGTTTAGGTATATGTTATAACGCCTTTTGTTGAACTTACTGTCTAGTATTTAGGCTTCTTTATCCTTTTATCTAAGAATTTGTGTATGTTAATAACCAGTGTACCGCTATCCTTAGCCATTACAGCTAGTAAAAAGATGAAGCATCGTCCCAGCATAGTGGGCTGGGTCTTTCGTGCAATGGCTTACATTGCACGAAAGAGCCTTAATCACCGTCGGCAAAAGCTATTTAACAGGTTATGTTGGTTCTTTCGAGCATGTCGAGTGTGTAGTAGGTATGTGCCAGGGATCAACGGTAATAAATCAGAAATATTATTAAAAGCCAAAGCAAAAAGATTTGTAATGTATTACGAGTATAGTATTTATCTTCCGATACTAATTTCTTAGATGGTATACTATTCGTCACGAATCTTAAACATGTTATTTGATTGGTTTTTATTATAGTTGTTTCCTGTTTTGGTCCAACATTGTATCAGACAATTAGGTACATATTTGTCTATCTTTAAATTTAGTAGTGATGTGGAACTCGCGCGATATTTCGCAGTTAATAGAAAATATTTGAATGACTGGTTGCTCTAGTGGTTAGTGTTTCTGACTGTTGAGCCAGTGGTCGTGGGTTCGATTCCCACCGAGGATAAATAAATAATTGTGGGATGAGCACGATTTTTTCTGTGTCTGGGTTTAAATTTATCTATGATATGTATGACAATGTGTCAGATGTGTGAGGTTATTATTATTATAACTTTTGTTTGGATGAGATTCCTGCGTCTAATTGTATTAAAATTTCGTAGATATGTATTGTTGAGATGTGTAGATGTTTGGTTATTTCATGTTTTCTTATCACATTATAAAATAAAAAAAATATAATTACCACAAAAAAACATGACAACTAACCTTTGGTTCTATGCTGCAAAGAAACAAAACAAAAACTTGCTATTATAGATACAAATCAATACCGCCTCTAATTGTATAAAAAATAATTATTTAAAAGTGCTTTGAAAGTAAGTACTTTTTTCTTTGTTCGCTTGTTTGTAAAATGTTTATTTATTTATTTAATTCATACATGGAAAACTTACAGCTAAAAACATCAGTTAGAATGACACAATTAATCATCTGAGAGCCAATTACCAGTTTTTACTTCTAGTTACAAACCAACAAAAGTTGCTGTAAGGAAATGGATTATGAAAAAAAATATACAAAAAAAACAAACAAACAAGAAAAAAAAAACAACCAAATCACACAGTCCCTAGTGCCGAAAATCACAGCGACTGTGTAAGCGCTATTACTATCACTACGAGTATTGTTACGAGCGGGGTATATAATAAATAAAAGTTGTCGGTTAATTACTTTTATTGCACTGTATAAATACAGTGCAATAAAAGTAAAGTATATTATAGTGAGTGTTAGTAAACTAACACTCACTATAACAAACAAGAAATCACTATATTACTCGTTAGTTACACTAGAAATTCACTTCAATGTGTCGTAAAACGATACTGTGTCGTACGGCCAATTCGCTCCGCTTTTATAGCGTTATCGAATTTACTAAAATTATCCCTAGTATTCGATACAGACAGAGTCCGACACAGACATCCCTAGTGTCCGTTCCAGACAAACAAGAATATTCCAGCATCAGTCACGCGTTACTTGCAGCTCCATCTAGCGCTGTAAGGATCAGAATTATTAACCACAATCTTAATAGATGTACTTTACTCGATACTAGAGGGTGCATGCATCCTCCACATTTCATACAATTCTGGAACAATCGAACCATTTAATCCTGTGGCGCAACAATATCTAATTGAAATAAATAATAATAATTAGTCCGACATAATCACCCACCAGAGGGGTGATTATGTCGGACTCGAACCTCACGCCGTCTCAAGGTACCAGGAGCCGGGAAACCAGGTATACTCTAGAAAGGAAAGCCCTGGTACCTGGTAGATGTGCCCTTCCTGCCCCTGTAGGGCGTGCGCGCTCCGTACTAGGCCAAATACCCTAAGTACCCTAGCTCTGTATCGACAGTTTACAAGATTTTTAGCTCCTAGCTTATCGTAAAATAGTCAGTAAATAAGCTCAATTCGTGTATATAAGGCCAATAAGTCAGTAAATCAAATGTAAGAGAAAAAAATGTATAGGAAAGCCATTACGAATCAACGTGAAATGAAGAATAAGTAATTAATTGTTACCGAAAAATAATTGCAAGTAGGTATAAACTGTATTTTCTTGTTTGTTTAGTGTTCACACCGCTCGGTTTTATCCGACTGTTCGGCGTGGTGGGCGGCGTCCTGGTCAAGCCGCAGTTCTTGAGAGATCTCAACGAGGAGTACTATGTATACTCCTTTGAAGAAGACACTATCAGGAGACGGATGCACAATGCCGTGTCTACAGGTAAATTGATGTAGTTTCAAACATAGGTTGACATATTATCTGTAAATATGATTCTTTATAGCTCTCTCTCTGTCTGTCCATGTCCTAGTAGCCTCTCCAACAACAGGAAACAATTTCCAATTGAGTTGTAGGTGTTTAGTTTTCTAGGCGACGGTAGTCACTTACCGTCAAGTGACTTGTCTCCTCGATTGCTCTCTATACGAGTGGTACCACCGAAGTAGATAAATATAAATTATTGGATGGGATCTTTATGTTTTGAATGTCTGTAAGATATTGTGTACACATCGACGGTAGAAAACGAATGTTATCGTAGTTTGAAATTTTTGCACCAGACATTAAAGTATATTTCAAAAAAATCTTATTATTTGTATTTCTTGTATATTTTTTGCATACAAATTAAAAAAGCAGAAAAGGTCAATGAAGTATAACATTACTTTTTTCATCTCAATAGCAATTATCATGTTGTTAACCACTGAAGCAACTACTTCATCGAAAGGTGTATCCATGTTTTTTATAATATCGTTATGAATATTGATCTACTTTTTGTGAGCTTCCATTTGAATATATTTTATAAAATCTTAATTATTAATTTATCTGTTTTATAAACATTCGTTTATAAGGTCAGTAAGAATTAGTCCCCACATGGGTAAATTATTGATGTCACTAACATAACTTTACCCCTCTCATATATGGCTGTCAGATCCCATATTAGGCAGAGCCTGTACTATTGGAACCAGACTGCTGATTAATATATTTCTGTATATATTATATAGAAAAATTACACCCAGACACAGAACAAATAATCGTGCTCATCATACAATTTATTTGTCCTGGTTGGTGATCGAACCCGCTGCCTCTATTCTGCCACAAAGTTTTTATTCTTATTCAATAAAACAATGTAAAAATAAAAACGTTTCTGCTATTCTCTCATTCTAAGGTGAATTATGACAAAACATCTTTTTTTTTCTAACTGTAGAACAATATCGACATCACAATCTCACTATCAACCAATATTTTCATCTAAACAATGCACTAGACAAACCCAAGGATATCTTGTTCTTAATGTATTTAATGAAGCTGTGTGCTTCCTGTACTATGTCGTTCTTAGGTTAACCTTACAAATCAGCGTTGACCTCCGCCATTTAAAACGTGCGCGGGCGCATGTTTATATATGTATGATGATGATCTATAGCGATAAAAACACGTGAACTTAATCATTAAAATTGTAGAAACAGCACTGTGTGAATCTAATAAGAGTCTCACTTTAAAACCTTACAAGTTAAACAAAGTACTAAATATCATTCACATAGAGCGATTTTCCAGTTAAATACATCATCATCAGCAGCCTTTAATAGTCCACTGCTGGACATAGGCCTCTCCTTAGAAAGGAGGTTAAATACAACTGCATCCAAATACACAGTATCGCTGTTTTTTGGAACTCAAAGTCCGGCAATGCAGTTTGTTCCTCTTGATTTGCTGGGCAGCGTTAATCACATCAGGTGAACCGTCTTAACTAAGATACAAATCCCTAAGTAAATGTAAATATGTTATCAGCCTCATCATCATCAGCAAATCGCAGTCCACTGCTAGACATGGGCCTCTCTCATTGCACGCCACTTAGATCGATTCTCTTACTATTTATATGACCTATTTACATTAGGTACATATTTTTGTTCAAATTTACTTCTCATGTTAATGAGGAATTTAAGTAGAAGAAGTCGCGAACAGCTAGTGTATAGGATCCATCTACTAGATAATATTATGTAACGTAACAATACTGTATATAACACACCTTTAATTAAAGTTAATACATATTGTAATTAACATACAATATTATTGTGATGTCAGTATTATAATGAATGCGCTTAGTCATTACGGCATAATTGACTAACGAATGTCTATTTAAGTCATAACTTTCGCAGTTAGAACACAGACATTCTGCAATTATGAAGTGGAATACAATTTCTAATGAGCTGCTATCTACTACTAATACTCTATCCATTTTATACCTTTTTTTTTACTGTGCGGCAATACCCTCGGATACCACCCACCGGCGGTTATCGATTCGGACTCGGACCGACCAAAAACCGCACGCCGTCTCGGGTACCAGTTGCCGGGGAACCAAGGCCTCAATTCTGCTATTTTATGTTTACGCCAAGCTAGTGTCATACCACTGACACGCAATTGAGATGCCATCGAGTAGTCGGTATAAAGATCGGTAGTTGAAAATATATTACGTTTTTGAGGAAATGATTTATTTGTTTTTACTATAATAAATTATGAAAAGAAATAAATGAATTAAAATAACTTATTAAAATAAATATAAAAGAAAAAGAAATAAAAATTATAAAAAAAGAACTAAATAAATTATTAAAATAAATAAAAATAAAAGTAAAAAATAATTTCCTCAAAAACGTAATATATTTTCAAATTATAAGGAAATGACTTATTTATTTAAATATTTTTTTTTATTTTAATAAATTATTTATCTTTTTTTTATAATTTTATTTTTTTAATTATTTATTTAATTTATTTTAATAATTTATTTATTTCTTTTTTTATAATTTTTATATTTTATTCTTCAATAATTTATTTTAATTTATTTCATTCTTTTTTTAAATTTTATTTTTTTAATAAGTTATTTTAATTTATTAATTTCTTTTAATAATTTATTATAATAAAAACAAATAAATCATTTCCTCAAAAAACGTAATATATTACCGATATTTATACCGATGCCAATGGCTACTCGATGGCATCTCAATAGCGTGTCAGTGGTATGACACTGGCTTGGCGTAATAGCAGAATTGAGGCCCAGGTGTATGCCTCCAATCCTCCATAACAGGTCTTACCGCCGCGATAACGATGTGTCCAGCGCTCGGTTGCCCAAGTCGTTCCTTCCAATCCTCCACGAGGACCTGGCGGAGTTGGGATTTCTGATCCACGATTTCTCGAGATCCAGGACACCGTAAATTTATCTGATAATCTATGCTAATATTACAAAGCTAAAGAGTTCTTTTGTTTGGTTGGTTGAACACGCTAATCTCAAGAACCGATTTGAAAAATTCTTTCAGTGTTATAAAATCCATTTATCGAGGTAGACTATAACGAGGTAGGCTATATACCATCACCCTACGACCAATAGAAGCGCAGTATCAATGATATTTTTTTCCAAAAACGTCGAATATTATTCCTTTTGCGAGCTTCCCTTGCGTGCGCTGCGTAAACTGTTAAAGTTTCGCTAAAATCATATATGACAGAATTGTTCCACTTTAAAAATTCAAAAAAAAAAAGTCCGCGACAGCATGTCTATCTGTTAAGGTTGGCTCACTATAACCTTTTTTATCCAATTGGACGTCTAATTTGTGATATATGTGATACGTCTGTCTAGATAATCAAATTTGTTCCTAAACAATGCATTATTGCATTGTTTAGGAACAAATTTGATGAAAATGTTCCCTATGTTCATTTTTGTACTCCTCACACGTTGCAAAATTTCATGTTACTCGGTGGAGTAGTTACAGAGTTAAAGCGTAACAGACACAAAGACTAATTTTGGCATTTATTTTACGAGTATTAATTAGAATGTGAACAGTAGTAGTTGTCAGTACACAAACATAAGCTCAAATTATGTTATAGATTGACTTTGTTTTCATTCTGCTATACGCATGATTAGAATACCGACATAGAATGGGCACATAGTTCTTCCAATTATCAACGTGTTACATACATACCATTGTTACATACAATGGTATGTTTGTGTTATCTGATGTTGAAACGGTTAAGCTGTTCGATGGTAATTAGACTACTTAGACATGCCTAAGCAATTACGAAATACATTTTGTACACAAACTGGTTTTATCTGGGGTAAACTTTAGGCTCCCTTAATCGTTTAGATACCAATATTGTCCATCTATCCAATTATTTTTTTAATTTTGAGTATTAATAAACTATTATAGATGTTAGAGATCTTTTTTGGGTTTCGTTTCTCCGCTATTGAACTGCTAGAAATTCTGAACATTGGTTTTGACAGTGGATTATGATCTTATGCACCATTTCAATATATTATTATGTAGAATTGTTCTGTACACACAGCAAAGTGTCCGTTTCATATATGTTTGTAAAGACCCCCACGACGCAGGATTTATTCCTAATGTGGGAGTTGTATTTAAAAAAAGTGAAGTGAGTGAAGAAACGGGACTTTTACAATACACACACATATAAACGTATAATAATATACTTCGGTTCGCTAAGTAGGTTTTACGGAATAATACACACATGTAAACCTGACTAGGTTAAACCCTTATATTCGTAAGTACGTTCCCTCGGCATAAAATATTAACACTATTAAAATATTGTGCGAGTGTTTAATTGGAAAATAGAACAAAAGTGAACTTTGTTGTACACCAATGACTTTAACAAGGAATATATCAGGAGAAAATGTACAAATTCAATAATAAAACTGCTAACCTTTAGTAGAGGAAACGTCAACCTTTAGTTAGTTTTGCCGCGCAAGTGGTGGTATAAGAGATATTTGATTTTTTTAAATAAACATAACACACTTCTAAAGCATACAGCATATTGATAAGTAAATATTAATTGAAATAATATCGGTTTACTACTACAGTGATTGCTTTGTGTAACCTAAAGTTATTGTCTCAACTCCACAATTAAAAGCAGTTAAAAAACATTGGGACTAATAAAATTGGAATTGTGTCCAATTAATTACGGCAAGGTTGTTACAGTTAATAATTTCTCTTCGTAGTCGTCTGCAAACAAACACCAACTAACCTCAGAGAGTCCGTATATGAAGATTGTTAAGCCGGAATCCTATATTAGTATCTTGACAACTATTAAACTCGAGAATATTCCATTTAATTATGTTTCTTTTAGGATTAGAAAAACTAACATCTAACTGGTTATAAAAACATTATGAAAAATAAATACATTATGTGAAGAGAACATCCGCTAAAGTGAACCGCTGGACCGTAACTGTAATTAGTAAATTACGAAAATACAGACTTAGACAATCAGTTCCGTGCATATATCTTTAAGGTACTTTTGCGGAAATAGTCCTCAAATCACTGTATGCAACAACATGCGTGTTTCTAGGCGTTTCGTGAAACAGCAAAATCAGAAAATTTCTCGATATTATCATCGGTGCTGTACCTGACCCGCTTAACAATACCATGTTTATAAACACTCACTTGGAGTGTTTATAATTAATTCATATCTATGCCACATGCCTACCTATTATTATAAAATATTATGTGTTATTACTAATTATAATTAAAAATAACTACGTTATTAACTTCTTCGAAAATTAGCAGGCGTAGTGTCAAAATACGTACATATATTTTAGGGCTACTATTGCTATAAAGTGGATAATGGATACGCATGACCCGAGGTCGCGCGAACGTTTTTGTCATGTTCAAACATGTATGCACTTTATGGTAATAGTTTTAGTTTATTTCAGTGTCTTACAATAATCGGTCTGCGTTGGCCCTTAGTCATATGTCATCTCTGTTATAATCTGATATAAATATCTAAACCTTTTATTTTCGTCTTTATTTTTTCTGATGAAAAAATCTGTCGCAGCTTTTCTGTTACAAGACATTTCGACATTTTGATTAATGCATGTTAATTCAAAATGAGAAATGTAAAAATGAAGAGCTATATTTTTTTCCTTATTTGATAACAGAAACATCGTAGGGTTTGTTTTACCAATGAAAAGTCAGCAAAAATTTCCAAAATATATTTGTATATATTACAGGTAAATTAGCTTGGAGAAATTTTTGCGTTTGTAGTAGTGTATGGTTGTGCGTGTTTCCACTTTCCACTATCAAGTGACGATTTTTTGCTTTAAATTGAAATATTTTGGAAACGGTGCGTCCTAGGCCAAAAAATAACAAAAATTTTGACCCCACCGTAGACCCCCCGGAGTTTTAAAAACCTAGATGAAAGGAAATAAAAAAAAAATCGGTCTCTCCTCTTTGAAGTTTCACTTCTATCGTGTGTGAATCGCACACACACCTTTTTTTTTACAAAGTCAAAACCTTTTTCTTTAAAATAAAAACTTGGTTTTATTGAAAACAAAAATCAGAGTGTTGCTAGGGATAAGTATAAAATTAAATAGTAATGTTGGGATATCGAATAGTAGGATATCGAGTAATATACACACCACTACATATGCAAAAATTTCTCGAGACTAATTTCACTGTATATATCTATTTATAATTTGTCGCTTTGACATCTTCAAAGTGACGTCTTCGCAATTTCAAGTGTAGGTAAGTTAAATTGAATATTTAAACGTCAAAACGTAAAGTCACTGCAATAGAAAGTCCGTTATATTGCCGATAATGTAATTCGGTTTTAGATGAAAGTGATGATGGAATATCCGTCGTCTCTAATATAACAGTTTTACATAGCAGTAAATCTTGGAAGCAGTTACTGTTTCCGCAGAATAACACAATATCCTCTTATAAAAATATTAAATAATGGCTTGCGATTCGGATATTCAATACTCTTTAATAAACTTCTGATTTCGTGAACACAACATTTTACCATTATTTAGTTTGATGTGTAGTCTTAAAGAATAGAAATAGAACGTAAACGTTCTATTTCTATTCATAGAACTCGTTTGACTTTATATTATTTATTAATGGAAACAAAAACCGATCATATGTAAAAAAGGTAATTTATTTTTCATAGTTGTAAATTGGTAACAATATAATCTTAGTATGTATGTATAAATTAGAAGATATATTACATTTCCCGGGCGAATACATACATATAAGAATGACATGACAGGTTTCGTGTCTGTGATATGTTATTCATACATACGAGTAAATACACTAGATAGGTACTTACGTATAAACAGTTTTGGAATTAATAATTCCGAAACTTGTCAAATACATTACTTTCTGTGCTGTAAACGTGTTGTAGTTAGAGTTTTTATATCATATAAATTGATTATGTCGTGTGTCTCTCTATATATAGTACATTTGTACAAGTATTCGTTACTAGACGTGAAGGAACACCGTTTAGTTGTCTAGACTTTTTCTTAGTATTTATATCATAACATTCTCACATGCTCAGTGAGGGACCCATGTACAGGGCGAAGCAGCAAGTCGAATTATTTGACGAGCGAGCACGGGCAGGTCAAATTCATTTTTTTTTTCATTTCAAGTCCTATAAAGTAAAAACTTATAGCTATTGCCAAACTACTACAGTTTCTAGTACCTACACGAGGATATCTGATTATTTCATGATTGAGAACTGCGGTCCCAGTTGCCGAATCCATTTAATTTTAACAGTAATTATTTGCTACAGAGCAGATGTTCGTATGTATTGGTACGTAGTACTCGTATGTGGTTGGTACTAGTTTTCCATAATTTTCTCCTGTAACTTAGAAACAGCGGACCTCGAGTATGTCAATAGCGTGGTTAATGTTTCGTTATTTCTGTTTGTCGAACCGAAACGATTCAAATCTTACTCTACAACGCTCTACTAGGTTGCTTATTCATGCAATTTTTGAAATAAACCTGTATTTGCCATTTTGGTAGCGATTTATTTAAAAAGGTCCAGCTCAAAATCACCCATTAGTAAGTAATATTCTGAAGTCGAATTTGCGACTGCCAAAAACCCTCTTCAGTCCGTGCAAAATACTCTCATTTTTGCACGGACTGAAGACCTACATTCAGTTCACTTTTTCTTCTAGTCTATAGCACTATTCGACACTTGACATCGTAGACCAATACTCCTAGGCATCGTAACAGGCATTCTCCAGATTACCTACAGAATATCAAGTTTTCTTATCACTTAACATGCAAATATTGTTTTCCAATTGGACTTTTGTTGGTCAGCTGTTCTTTTCAACCCCCGGTATCAAGAAGCATTTTACCACAATGACTTCACAGTGAACTACGGCATTCATATTAAGAACCTACTTACTGATCAAATTTTTAAGAATAAAACTTTACATTCATTCATTTAAATACTTTGCAATTAAATCCGATGTGAAACCTTGATACTTTGTTTTTGCTTACATGATATGTCTGGGACGAGTACATTAAGATTTTTATTAAACATTTTTACTGCAAGGATAGGTCACTTTAATCATATTACTAAAATTATATTCTTTTTCTAGGAGTGGGCTACATATCGCCTGAGCCCATGTATCCTGATCACGGTGACATTTCTGCGCTAGTGGACGCAGGGGTGTCCATATCGAAAGAAAGCCATCAGTCCATACTGCAAGGCAAGGAGACACCCTTGCTGAGGCTAAGAAACGGTGCTCTACAAGCTGGGCTTAATCAGCGGTTAAAGAGAGTCGTGGCTATGAGGAAGGTGAGTAATACATTATAAAGCACGCCAATCCAAACACTTTCTTCCCTCAACAAATATGGCACCAACACTATGTTAATTTTTCCTTGAATGGAATAATAATATTTCACTACGCTAAGTACAGATTGCGGACATTTTTTTTCTAATAAAATATTTAGTGAAATATTCTATTTTGTAACTTATATTAATTACCTTCAACTAAACAGACGAATGAACTTTTTGTAAGTTACTATTACATTACTCAATACCTACTTACAAATAATCGTAAGTAATGATTATTATTCTTGTATTAAAAAATATTTACGCAAGTCTAAACCCCACCTCCCCCTTGGTCCTTGGGAGAGGGACTTTTTTCCTTTTTCTTTTTTTAAAAAACAACATCCGCATTAGGAATATATCCTGTGTCGCGGGTACTTTACAAACATACATGAAACGGACACAAAGAACACCCAGACTCAGAACAACAATTTGTGGATCACACAAAGTATCGTCCCATGTGGGGATCGGACCCACAACACTCAGCGCAGGAGGAAGCGGCAAGGTGACCGCTTAAACTACTACGCCATCCGGGCAGTCAAAGTCGGAACGAGTGGAGTAGAGACATGTATATCAATTATGAAAGCCGTTAATATACCTAAGTTTTATTTGTGACTTGTGACTCTTGTACAAGAGTCACAACACCATGGACACCTGTCCATGGGCGGCGGTGGTTACTTACTATCAGTTGACCCGTCTGCTCCTTTTTCCCTTTATACCATAATAATACCTTTTCTTCTACTTTACTTTATTTTATTATGTTTAAGTAATATAATTTGTTCGACAAGCGGTTTAACCAGATTTATTTACTGTCCCTTGTTTCCAATCTTCAGGAAGTGGAGAGCCAACGCAAGACGTCATCTCTACAAAGAAATGTAGTATATCCCCTTGCGATGCTTTTGTTGCTCGCGCTCACAACCATCACAGTGCTCATGGTGCTACAAAACACGCTCGAACTGCTCATTGGAATCAAAGCTTTGCCGCTTAGCACACGGGTAAGCTTCCGCTCACATACATAGCTTTTTACTTAATAGAGAAAAACTGTAGAAAGAAGCAAGCTATGTTAGCCAGGCCTGGTAATAGGCTTCAAGGCTTCGGGCGATAATAAAATATCAAACAAAATGATAAAAGCAGCTTGTAAACTTTCGGGTGACACGTTTTGACTGTTTTTAAACGTTGCATTGTGAAAGGAATATTTTCTCGTATTTGGCGGTGCGGTGATATTCGTATAATACCAATAAGCGCCGACAAGCCGCCGTATGATCCTAAATCCTACCGACCAATCACATTGTTATCATCGTTAGCAAAGCTTTTAAAACGTCTTGTAGTGCCCTGGCTTCTGCCGGGTGGAGTTAAATTTCATGATAGACCATTTGAATTTACGTTGAGGAAATCGACAATTGATGCGGTTATATTGGTTAGGAAGTTTATCACAGAGTCAAAATTTCAATACGTGTTGGCTATTTTCACAGATATATCTGACGCTGGCTGTTGCTGTAATTAAAATCACGAGTGTGCTTTAAAAATATTCATTCCCTTATCTCTTCGTACTTTTCACAAGGTACAACTAAACTAAGACTTTGTTATCATTCTGTATCGAAGGCGCATACAATGGGATGTCCTGAGGGATCAGTGCTAGGTCCATACTTAATATCGGCTTCGACGATTTTCTTGCGATACCAGGACCATCCGGTTGTCCTCTGAACACGTATGCTAATAACGGCTTATTACTGGTGGACTCTGATACTAGGGCGAGACTTGAAAGATTAGCCAATAGATGTTTGAACTTGATATCTAATTGGGGTGAACGTAATCGCTTAACTTTTGCACCCAACAAAACCTTCCAGCTACTTTTAAAAGGCAACCACAAATCAAAAATAAAACCTCAATTTGTTATTTAGGATTAGTTTTAGAAAGAAACTTTTCATTTATCTAACATGTTAAAAAAGCTAATGAAAAGTCTAAAAAGAGTTTCTGTGCATTGACAAGGATATCAACTGCGACATGGGGTCTATCATTTAATACACTAAAGATCATATACGGAGCTACTTATTTAGGTTCCATGTGCTATGATGCACCTGTATGGGCCGATATGGCAACCTTAGGCGCTGTCCGTCTCAAACTGCTAACTATTACATATTATACCTTGATGTCTGTGTTATAAACTAGTCCCTGATAAATCTTAAATATTATACCTACAACATGTATGAATTTCCAGCAATTCACCCTGGGCATAGCATCCTTGTCGAAGCTAGGGTGCGCAGGCGCGGTGCTGGAAGCGTTCCTGATCGTGTACCTGTACGCGGCGTCGCTGACGGGCCTGAGCACGCCGATGAGGGCGCTGCGAGTGTTGCCGCGCGCGCGCCGCACGCCGCTCACGCGCATTATCGCGCACTGCGCTCTTCTCCTCGCTTACTCCACCGCACACCCGCTTCTCGTCAAGATGCTGGGTCAGTGCTTAAACTTCTTCTGAACTCATTAGTCAAAAGTCATCGTAGCTATTATATAAGTTCGTAAGTCAGAGTTTCATGACAAAAAAAAATCATCAACCAATTTCTGAGTTTATTCTAGTTTTTTCTTTATTCAGGTTGTGTAAAAAAAATCAATACTTTTTAAAAATGAAAAAAAAGAGAGGGGTATCCTTGCTATAATATATTTATACTAAATGTTTTAGTAGAGATCGAATCTTAGATCTCTGCTCAGCAGTCAGAATCACCGACGAGCAGATGAACAGCCCGTCAATATCATTAAACGAATGTATTTCTTTTTGTCCACCAGGTATTACAAATTTCGATTTGTTAGGCGAGTTCGGCCGCATAGAGTGGCTGGGCAATTTCAAACTCGTGCTGTTATATAATGCCATATTCGCTGGCACAGTGACCCTGTGTCTGGTCAGCAAGTTCACGGCTAGTGTCCGCCGGGAACTGTACAACAGGTTGGTGGAGAACGTCAACACTGTCGCTCACTGCGTATCTTTTCTCAACAACTGAACTCACAAACGGCCAATATATAATTCTGTCATATACATAAGAAATAACTAGTACGAATTGCGACGGAATAACACGCATTTCTTTGCATCATTTCAAAACTTAAACACAGACGAGTTTTAATTAAATTGCTTGAGCATCGAATGCTGTACCGTGTCTTTAGCTACACCGATACGGCCGGTGATATATAGTTTGTTGAATAACAGTACGGTATTTACGAAAACAGACGTGCTCTAGACTTACTATAAACAACTCTCTCATGAGCAAAAATGCAAACTGTTACTTCCTAAGGACTGATGCCATATTTTTTCACTTTGTAACGTTTTTATACCATTTTTTTTTTAATTTCAAGCGCACGGCAGACTATCAGCACTCATCCTTTTAAGAATAGAACAAGTTTAGGGCAATAAAATTGTTTAAAACTCGCCTGTATATAAGCAAATAAAACTATTAGCATCGGCTTTCTTGTCGGCTTATCAAATATTAGGAGTTTTAAATTAACATGGAGATGCATAAACAGTTGTATATAACACCAAAACATCTCACTATTCTAATGTATATTATAAATCAAAATTATAATACCAAAAACTGAGACACCAACCGTGTCTTAGAAAATGTCTACACCTATATTATATAACACCAATATAGAGTTGTGCTGCTAGTTACACATACATTGTTTTGTGTTGCTTGTAGACCGAGAATGTACGACTAGCTGTTTACAACGAAATTGTACAACTAAAGGCAGCCGATGCCAATAATTTGGATAATAAGACAATTACCTCAAAGAACTCGTTCTAAAATAGTCAAAATATATTCGCTATTAGGACGTAGGTAAGCTGTTGAGACGTTAGCGCTGTATTTAAATTAATTTAACTGCCGAGAACATGTCTGCACCTATTTACCGCCTTGTTACAAAACGTACATCAACGACAGTACTAGGCTTAAATCATCCAATAACAATGAAAAAAGACTGTTTAAACCCAATTCTTTCCTTAGTTTATGTTTTGTAATTATGCGGTTTAGAGATTTAATGTCCTCTTTTATGAAATGAGAATTTACTACTTATTATTACATTTAAATGCCTAGTGCTATTACGACATAATCGCATACACGTATTATTAAGTGTCATAGAGTGATAAATAAATAAAAATAGTAATATACAAAAAATAATTAACAAAAGAAACTTTAGTTAGAATATTGCATTTATTTTCTACCAATCAATTTATTTGTACTTCGGTTCCTATTTATTCATTTTTATTATGTACGAATTTTGTGTCATAATTATCTATTAATTTTTATTATTTTAAAGTTGTTGAGGAAGGATGCGGTAGAATGAAAATTTGAATTTCTTTTTTTTTAAATGAGACTGAATTTTTTAACGTTATGATTAGGACAGGAGATTATTTATTATTTCGTTACGTCTATGTAATTATTAAATGTGACTGGTGAATGAATTACAACAAATAGATTTTAATAATTGTGTAAGATTATTGCCATAAATTATTGAGTGTATTATTGTGGTGTCATGTATTTATGTATCGAGCCACATTTCTAAGTTTGTGTCTCAATTTATTTTTTACTTTTGCGCTGTGCAGATTTATTACAATAATAATATTTATTAAATGATAAAAGACATTGAAGACTGTTTTTATCTTAGAATAACTTTAGAATTATATAAGCTTTTGTTGCTCAATGCTACATCACACTAAACACCTGCAATAGCGGTGAAAATAAGTGGAGTAAAGCCAACGAGATGAAAGACACAGTAAACGATAACTATATCTGTCCCTTATTCTCATACTCAATAATGTACAAAGTTATTGTTTATCTCTGCTCGTAGGCTTTACTTTAAATAACATTGTTTAACTATGAAAGCTACGAGGCATTCATTATTTGAGGCTTATTATATCGCTATAGCAGGGATACTGACAAGCTATATTAGCACACGGTTTGTTATCCACGAACGACTAACACATCGAGTATTCATTGCCCATTTATTGTTACTAACGCACATATTAGCGGTCACTATAGGAGAGTTTGTCCACACGTAATAATATGCTATAGATAAAATAGTAGTGTGTTTAGAACATGTACATAGCAGACAGATTTAATAGCAGCGGTGCTACATATATAATCATTATAACATAGCACACGACAAGAATTATAAATTAAAGTTTTTCTGTAATGTACTTAGAACAACCATTTAAGGTCGCTTATATAAATAAGTCTTGTGTGTAAATCTCGATTGTTTGTGACTATAGGAATTATATTTTAGTGTGCGGATTTTATACATTTTGTAATATCTTGTACTAAACGTTGAGATTGCATTTGAAAATAATACATAATAAAAATTGTTTGTTCTTTTTATTTTGAACCTTTGTCGGTTAAGAGATCCTGTTTGGGTGCGTATAGGATTATATCACAGATCTTTTATGTTTCATGAAACGCTTTGCTCTAGATGGGAACAATTAAGGTATGGCGTCTATTTACTTTTGTTTATCGGGGAAATGGCAAAGCATCGCACGAGACATAATTCATATATGATATACATAAATAACTATCATATTATTGCCTTATTTAAAACATGCCGACGCATGTGTAAGGCTACTTACTGCATCTTAAGTGATGTTGAAAATATTAAATCCTCTTTTTTCCTGAAAATCTAAGTTGGACTAAGGACTGCTGTCTGTTGTCCAGTTCTTCTAGTGATGCGTATTTCAATTTTCTTCACAAAGGCTATTTTAATATCACCACGCTTTAAAAATCCTCTGAGCTTATTACTAACCCTTGCTTAGTGTATTTCATGCGTGCTAAGTGTATGCATACAGAAGGAATGTCTTCGTGTCACTTGCAATAATCAGTGTAAACAAGGCCTAAATTTCACATACCTATTCATGTTAATTTTTTAATTAAACATGGATAAAGGATAGCTGTCTATCGTCAATATGATTTTTATAAAATCTTCATACAATAGTCGCCGGTACCAGTGACTATTGTATGAGGACGGCAAAAGCAAGGAAGTGATTACTTTCGATCAGGTGACAAGTCTGCTGCTTTTTCCCACCTGTATCTATAAAAAACAACGTTAACATTTTAAATAACTTATTTTATGGTAGAGGTACTCCACATTTCTAATAAATATCAATCAAAACTAGGAGACATATCAATCGGAACGATTCTGTGTAACTAAATTACTTTAACCTGCATTTAAAATTTTACCTTAGATCCTTTGATCTATGGATGTATTTCAAATAACAATTTCGAAGTGAGCCATCTGAACATTTTCAATCGGTTTCAACTCCAATTCAATTGTAAACCTCAGTCACAATGTATGAATGGTACCCATTCCGTTCACGATTCTTCAGATGTAAATAAACGACGATCCACATTTAGGGATAGTGAAAATAAACGAGAAAATGACGGATTAGTTTATTAGCTCCCTTTATAGTAGTTTAAAAGTAAACATCGTTAAAAAGGAATTAATAAACTAATCTGTTAATGTACAAATTTGTCAAATGAAATTCCACACAATTAGCTTCATTCTTTAAAAAAACATTCAGTTCAGTCTCGACAGATTTGCTTGGCATGATGTACCTACCTATTCACTGAAAAATATTTTTTGGTTTAGATTCAAGAGGATTGCTGATATGTTTACTTTGCCAGAAGATATGCCGGTGAAGTCATCGCCAAATGCAACGTTAAATGAAACACGGACTTCGCCGGTAGCGACAGTTTCAACTGAAAAATTAGATCACGAAAATGTCATACAACCCAAATTAGAATAAAACTACAAACGAAATGAATAAAGCTTCCTTTAAAGTTTCTGTTTTTTTATTGTGGCTTTCAAGAATGATAAAGGTATATGGGTGCCCTATAGTCCAGGGCGCTTAAACATATTGTTGCCAAGAACTACTCAGGCATATGCTCATCAGTTTTTGCATGGAGACCAGACATAAGTGGACAGGGGAATATAAACCCTTATGCACCCACAGAAATAAAACTTAGGTATATTAACGGCTTTCATAATTGATTTACATGTCTCTACTCCACTCGTTCCGACTTTGACTGCTCGGATGGCGTAGTGGTTTAAGCGGTCACCTCGCCGCTTCAAAATAAAAAACCACAGTCGGCGTATTTGAGACGAATACAGTGACTTCTTATACATGCAAATCAAACGTTTAGACTTTTAGACTATTGCGTGCGTGCACCAAACTAGTAGTCTATGGTACAAAGGGAAGCAATTAGCTCAAGTTTTCAAAATAAAATTAACATAACTAAAAGCTAATTTGCTATCGAAAAGAGGATTACTACATTAAATAACGACGAACTTCAAGAATACAGTTAGAAACTGCACAATAACTATGCAAGCTTTTATTAGTAGTAGTAAAAAAGAAACAGAAAGAAACTGGGTGTGAAAACAACCTATTAGAACCAAAATCAAAGCTTTATCTGCATTAGGCTTACCCTATTCTACGATACCCTATTCCTAATCCCTACGAATCTAGAACAAACAGTTTTCACTCTTAAATGCTAACAACTGTTATTAGTTAGTGTCAACAGACAATGACTATTATAAAATAGAGATTGCAACAGCATTCAGTAATGCCTTTTGAACAGAGAGGCTGAGCAATATTATTTTGGTAACTGCAGTAAAAGCAAGGAATTGACTAAGAGGACTAACATCACAATAATCAAATACAGTACATATTACACATGTAGATGTATATCCCCTACTATTTGTTATATTACATTTAGCCTGTTTGTAAATTTGCTTTTATATGTTTTTATGAATGATATAATTAATAAAAAACATAATTTTCTATCATTTTATTACTATCATTTTCACTTAAAGTATTTACAATCATATAGTGCTTGCCACACTTTCGTGCCTCTGCTTTCAAAATAAGTCTTCGAGCATTGTTTCTTATCGTTTCTAAACTTTGGTTGCTGTTGAGACCAAATATATATCCCAGGTTAATGACATCATGAACATCTCTGACATGCATGTAATTTTCAGCACCACTTGTAACAATAATGTTCCTTGATTTCCCAACAGCATGATAGGTATGTGCTGTACTTATAATATTCTTTCTTGATGTTGCATCTCTTATAGCTGGGGAGTACATAATTTCAAAAAAAACACCTCTTTGTGCAGCTAGGGTATACAAACTACGACTCACTTTGAATGGGATTCTGCACTCAGGACTAAATGTGATGATATCTACCTCCATGGTTCCACAAGCATAATGAAAGGCTTGTAAAGTTTTTGGTACCACAGCAATAATATCATATTTTTTTACATGCTCAGATTGATTAAGTTTATGAGCAATACTGGAATCAGAAAATTCTATAGTCACCCGTTGTAGTATATTCAGCTTTGTCAATTTTGAAACATCTGCAGATATCTCTAAAGGTGCAGGTATAAAATCATTCTTTTCTTTGGAACCTCCTTTCTTTTTCTTTTTTTTGGGCTCATCTGACGACTCTTCAACGTGTGTATCAATAGCAACAGTGTGAAATCCAAGCTTTTCTAAGTAGTGGAGTTTATCAAGGTCATAATTATTATGTATACACAAGTCACAGAAACCCCAAGTTTGGTTTACCATATTGAAGTAACGTTTTTGAAATTGAATACTGCAACAAATATTACGAATACAACACATATTGATTATTAAAACAGTAATAATAATAGTGTATATACAAACACTACACTAGTATAAAAAAAAACAAAGATTCATGTCCGAGTCTAAAAGTTTTGCGACAGACGAATGACATAAGGAGAGGAATTTCCTATTTTATTGATTATACGAGTTAGGGGGCGTATTATTAAGGGGAGGACAACTAAAAATTTATATGTTAGAGGGTACTCTCCTCAACATTCACATGAAGTAGAGTCCCATACACAATTTTTATGTAAAAAGACTGTAGAACAACAATTGCCTAAGAAAAGTTGGCATTTGGTTGTTTTTGGTTGTTCTGTATTATATTATTTGACTTTCTTTTTGCTGGGGTCAGTCCACTGGGATTGCCATTAAGACAATAGTATATTTTTGGCCAATAAGTCATAGCTTTGATTACTGTAGTGTTGAAGGTCTACAGATGGTGCTGAAATGACATTTCCCAGCATATCTGCCAACTAACTGGAATGTTGTTTGTCTTATGAAGCAATAGCCACTAGAATAATTGGTGATGTTTTTAGTTTGCTAAAGGTGTGTAAATATCCAATGATATTTGTATTAGAGTGACCACATTTTGCTGAGGGGATAGGGGAGTGCTAGTGAAGTTCAATGAGGATTTTTGTCAAAGGTTGGTCAAGAAGAGTGTGGGATCTGGTTTTAAGGAATATTGTTTCTCGGTGTGATTAAGTGGGTTGGCTTTTAGCAACATTGGCATATCTTTTTTTTTATAGGTATATTCCCTCCAATTCCTCCACTACTGTAACTCCTGTATACCAGGATCAACAGTAGTGACCCACGAACATACCATGTTATAACACTCGGGCAGTCCCAGGAAAAATAAAGTGTCTTAGCCCTGCAATAAAATTAATCAGTAGAAAATTAAAGGAGTTGGAAATAAAATAGGACACAAAATATTATGGGTCCTAAGCAAGCTATATTTGATTTCTGTAATATGTATGGCAGAATCGCCCAAATGCACAGAAATTCACCTTAGTTTACCAAGATCCTCATAGTACACTGCCCCAGATTGCACCTGTAAGCTATTCAGCAATATATTGACATAGCTGTGGGAAGTAGCAGGTATTATTATACTTTATTCCATACATAGAAAATAGCTTATTCATACAGAATATAGCTGTTTCAGCCATAGATGTTTTAACTGCTCACTGCCTTCCATACTCTGGGAAATTCTCTTTTAACTTAAGCAAAATAACTCCCAGAGCAAAGAATGCAATAAGCATCTGCTGTAGTAGTAAAACAACCACCTACATGGTCAAGCCCACACTTAAAGCAACAGGGTTAAGGTATGCAGATTGCTTTGATTGCATTACAGTGTATTGCTGTTACACATCTCTTATTTGTAGGTGTCTGACCATCAAAGGTAATGTACACATGTTTCAGTGGGTTTTCATTGAGTGACTCCATCTATTGAGACTGCGATTTATTCTTCTAATTTTGAGGATGTGACCACAGCCACCAGGGTCTAGATATATAATCTAATGACACCCATATGTCTGATGTTAAAAATGGTATGAATGCAATGAATTGGTTTTTCAGAAGATGGGATTGTTTAAAAAGGAGTAGGCTGACTAGAAGTGGATAGACCCTCGATTCCGTTCAACTCTTAATTACGTCTTTAATAACATTACTTACATAATGTTTAAGTAAGAGTATGCCTAATGAAGAAGTGGGCGATGAGTAGTGCTTGAGTAGGGACTGATTCTATCTGTGAAACATGCACACTGTATGAAGTCTTATCGTCTGCTGTGTAATAGTCTCCAGCTATTTGACTCTACGATTGCTTAGTTGGACGACTACAGTAGGGTTCTTCTTTAACTGCACGTTTTCGGTTTTGAGCGTTAGGAATACTGCAAGCCTCTTCTGCAAATGGAGTTGTAGGGGAAGGATCATAGCGAATGTCGTGAGGGTCGGGGAGTTTTGTCTACCCACTACTTATGAATAACTTCATTTATGTTAATGTATATAACTATAAAACGGCTCAATACCTTTCCTCGATTAGTACTACAATATATTTATACACATAAGAAGTCACAGTCACACAGTATCCGACAATTTTCAAGCCACACGTGCTTTCCAAAATACACGATAAGTTGATGGTCCTTGAAACTGATATTGCAATGCAACAACATGCCCACGGAGCAGTGCTTTGCTGTCAAAAGTGTCAATTATTCGATTGTGTATTCGTTCTGAAATAACAATTTGAATAATTAAATCGTTTGAACTTAGTAAACACTTAGTTCAAACCCTTATCTTTATCTGTAGTATTACTAGTATTATAATAATACATTATGTATTTGGTGGGAGGAGAAATAATTCCAAAGGTAACAGACAGAATTAGTATGGTTGTCTGAATCGATTTGGATTCAATCGATTTTTTGTTTGCATGAATATACTTTGTGGTAGGTTTGGTGCTGGGCTTTTGAAGTAATTAAAGTAAGTTCCCTTGATTCCAATATTAAGAACCCCAATTTTTAGTAATTTGGATATTTTTAAAAGATTTCGAAACTGTATGTTTAATTGGCATACAGCTCAGGATAATATTTCATAAAAGATGAATAGTTAATCAGTTTATATTATGCTATTGTAGCTTGAAAAACTCACTAAAAAGGGAAACATAAAAACTATAAAAATTAGGATTAATATCTTGCAGCAATAGCTTGTAACAAGCCATTTTTATTAAGCTTGTATCATGATTTAGGTATGATGAGGTGGATTAATAAAAAAAAATAATAATAGTGTTAATCATTTATTTCAGTTGTCAAACCGTGGGCTGAAACACAAAATCATAAAAATAACACAATTACAAAACCATAATACTACAAAATTAAAAAAAAAAAATATTACCACAATTCATTACAATTAAAAAATAAAATTAACAATAAGTACAACAAAATACGTCATTTCCCATTACAAATCGAATATGCTGTAATGACAACTATGATAAACCGCCTGGACAACTTAGTTGCCTGTACTTCTGATTCTATTCACAAATGAAGCAGCCATCTTTCGAAGCACTGCAAAGAAGTCGTCTACCCTGTTCCCGGCGAACATGCCAGACGCACTACACCGCTACGGCAGGTTGAGCATGGCTCTAAAAGCGTTATTATATTGCACTCGTAATGTGTGGTACGTTATCTGGGTGTAATTCCTAAATAAGCTACAGGTGTAGAAGCACCGACAGTTGTATGCCGTACGTCCACACAGGTTTGCGGATGGCTTTATATAGAAGAAGTTTATTTTTCATAGTAGAGTTTTCTTAGCTGTAGACCAAGCTGTTTTCTCTTGGTAAGAATGTGGTTCTTCCAGGAAAGAAGTTTATCGAGGTAAAGTCCAAGATACCGGACGTGGTCTGCCCGAGGGTCTTCTACGTCGTTCAGCCTGACTGGTGGACAGTGCTCTCTTCGTAGGGTGTAAGTAACGTTGACCGACTTGCATTTGCTTTTTCGGTATCCATACGAGCCCAACTCCCGTCTTGTGCACGTAAGGCTGGAGAGGCAGTAGTAAGTCTTTTCATTTTCTTGGTAGCTTTCCATAAGAGTAGTCTGATGATGTGGAGGCATCCAGACTGCTCAGATGCAATAGACTTGACAACGAAGTGGTAGTTCCTACGGACGTCAGTGACTGCATCGCGCGACCCACTGCTGTGTATGAGTTTATATGGAATACTAAACAATTCCCGCGACCGAATCGCGTGACCGAACTGTTTTTGAATTTTTCAACTTGTTCACTTTTCGTATCATATTTTCGTTGACTTTCCAAAGTTCTTTATGTACCTAACGTTACTTGACATAAATTCTATGGGTAACATAGACTGATTGACTGCTTGGAACCTATATGCGTAAACCTGTTATGATACTAACCTCTATGCTTATCTTATCCTCAATATTTGCATTCTGCTTGTACATATTTGACATTCGAATTGAAATAGTTGACACGTGATGTCAATAGATATATTCAAGGCTCGATCAAGGATTGTTTTGTATAATATCAGATTGATTTCCTAACTCATAAAATTTATGAGACTTGACTTTGGTGGGATCTTTGAGTTTATCCTACACCCTAGATAATAATGGGATTTCGTATTGTGGTTGCGGGAGAGTCTCAATGTGTATCTTTCGCTGAATGTTGTCTTTTAGCAGATTTTCTCTCACAAAACTTACCTGACTTCTGTTTTGATCGTGTAGAGATAAAAGTTCTAGATTGGCAGGTAACAACGTTCTATATTTTCAATAATATACACATATAAAAGTTCCATTTAACATATTTGTTCCAAACTCAGGCTTGGCTGCGCAGAATAAATTTAAAAAATAAATGGCATCACGTTGGATCCCCTCTCATATGGAAGGAAATGTTAATGGCGGGTAGTAAGCCATATTATATAGGTGGAGCCCCTCAGTTTCTAGACTACTGTTACTCATATTATAAATTTGATTCACTGTTTGGGTCTGATAAATTTGAGGAACTACTTAAAAATAGTGTCCAATTGAAGAAGAAAGTAGCGATTGAAAGGAATCTCTTGAAAAACGCTGAGATCAATTCTCCAGTAAAATCCTCAAAAAAAGCAATTATTGTCACTATTTCTGGAGCCGGAAATCCTATAAGTAGATGTTTGTTAGTTGGATTGCTAGAAATGAATGTTTGTTTTAACTCTATAGCTAAAATCTACATTTATGATGAGAATTGCTCTGAAGAGTTCATGCTATCACTCGAAAAAGAGTATTCATTCATTGAGAATATATATCCTGGAAAAGTGGTTAAATATGTGCGTAAAATTGGCATAGCACTTACATGTTCTGATTTACTGATAGTTCTGGATCATGTTCCATTTGAGTAAGGCTGTAATTCTTATTATTATTTTGGATTATAGGGTAGGTTGACACGTGGTGATGCTGTAATAAATAGTTAATGTTTATCAGAATGGTAAATGATGTTATATAGAACCTTCTTAGTTAATTAATTATAAATAACTGCACATGCTTTAAGAGGCTAATACACTACAAAAAGGCGTCCACGTTACCACATGTCTTTTGAAAGAAAAGTTATCCCACCAAAACATTTTCGTGTAGAATGTTGCCAAGACGAGACCATAGTTAAATTTGTGGCCTCACTTTAGTCAAAATATGTGGCCACACATTAGTCAAAATATGTCTCTTAGCCGTTTCGTTACTACAAGAACTATTGTAAAATAGAAAAGTATGGATGTGGTGTTTCTTTTTATCTTTTATTTTAGGTTTATTTTCAAGTTTATTTATGAAAGGAGTTCTTAAAGAAATTTCAGACCTCTAGCATCAAAATTTGCGGAAGGCTCATATAAACTTCCATCACCTAGTTTGAGGGATTGAAAGATAAGAGTTCTGAGTTTTGACGTCACAACGTCTTATAATTCGATGGAGCCGGCTGCACGCTCGAAAAAACATGACTCATGCGGCGTTACCTCGCTCTGAGGCGTTCCATTTAAGGCTTGAAGTGCAAGCGAGAGCGCGGAACGAGCGACAAAGAGGCACAATCGGCCTCCGCCTTCAGCAGCGTTTCACATCTGTCTCTCTCCTACTTGAGTGAGCGATGCGTCCGCGTGGACAGCTGCTATACAATAATACATTTACATGTTTTCGTAAAATGCAACCATTCCATCAGTATTTTCTTATGACGTTGTCACGTTCAACTATCGTCAGTAAACCGACTTTACAGACAACCGATTTTTTTTTTTTTTTGTTGTTTGTGTACCAGCCAGTAATACCAGCTTACAAACCAAATTTCAGCTATCTAGGATCCTAAGAATTTTGATAATCATCAGTGAGTCAATAACGAAATCGTTTTTTTAGAAATCAATAAAATTTATAAGATCTATAGAATTGAAACTTTATAAATTTAGTAAGTTCACTATTGATATTATATTGTGAGAATTTTGTTTCTGGTTTAATCCAAAATTAAGTTCAAAGGGTTCAAAGAAACGACAGCATTTGGATAAAAGGTAGGTTGCGCTTCACTTGGCTCATCTTGGCAGGGCACTACCGTGCTCCGAGTTAAAACTTTGTGTTTGTAGGAATTTTCTAGAATGTTAAGTCACAAGGAAAATATTTCATTAGGTTATTTTTTCTTTCAGAAACCACATGGTTATAGGAGAATGGCTATATGAAAACAAAAAAAATATGGACAAATTGTCCCAATTAATTAATGCTTCTGGTTCTCGTAATATGTATATAGTATTTCCAAATATGGGGCCTGCATGTTTTAATGCAACATATCTAAGGCAAATTGTCACTATCACGAAAGATCACATAATCGTAGTAACCTCTGATTTAGGATTGGAAATTTTGCCCATTGCTGAAGCAATTACAGATGTTCCTAGTAGAAACATGTTCTGTCCACCAGTTTGGGGTTTTGTGGGTATAAATCACTTGGTTGATATTAGGTCTACAATTCAGAGATACGACATTTTTCAACCTTACAGCAGATTTACTAAAGTCAAACAATCTACCCTCAAAATTGGGTCATTAACACCTACTCTGAGGTATATGGAATATTTGATGTATTTTGACGAAAGCCTGTGGGTCAAGGTAGCTGAAACGAAAGTAAGTATTGCTAATTTTTCCTACCTAACCTTAGACGTAACTGATCACGAAGATCACATATTTTGATTCATCACGACAATCCTACTGAAATATGAAAACGGTATGTACTAGATATGCAGTCTCTGAAACGCTAATGTAAAAAAAATATTTTTTTATATTTCAGAAAAAATACCCTAAGGGGCAACCATGGTTAAGTAAATCTATTGCTGTTTTGAATTTAATAAAAGTATGGTTTTTCGAACGCAATCCTAATGATATTGTAAATTTAGGACTTCATTGTAACGGTAGGTAATACGAGTATTACAGTTCTGTTATCACCAATTCCCAATTCTATTTTACTCGTTTTATTTGAAAATGATTGTTTTTCCATTCAATAGGTTCATTTGGCTTAAAATTTGATGGAATTTTTTCTCAACCTGCTCGTTTGGTAAATGATGAATGGGTACCAGCGTCAGATTTTTTACTGCCTAAGGATTCTCAAATTAACATATATTATCTAGAAGAAATGGCTGAGCGGATTATGAAACTTCAGAGAACTGATTTACCTCCATTGGTGCCTTACTATCCATGTTATTGTAAACCAAAACGAATAAAGAAGAAAAATGTGTGGTAAATTTCAAATTACAGAGCAGAGCTTGTGCGTGGCTGAAATTGGAATAAAACTAGACATTAACCTTTCAAAACTAAGTATTTTCAAACTAACTTTTGTTTTAAAAGAAGAATTTCGAGATCATTAACAAATCTATCGTCACTCATCAGATTCAACGCCCTCCAGTAAGTAACAAGCAACGAAGGCCTCCCTCCAAGGAGCGCCAACTATCCCGTTCTTGATTGAGATTACATTTGTTATAATTATATACAGATATGGTAAAGTTTTCTGTGTAGGTAAAACAACAAAAAAAAACAATGTGAAGAGTCTGAAATTACTCGATTAAATATTTTGTATCGATTATTCGATTTCCACCGGCTTTATCAGCATCGGCAAACACTTATTCTATTCCCTCGTTTCTAAACGACTGAAATGAGTGAGAGAGCGTATTAGCGTAGTCAACACAACTTAGTATGTACGGGGTCGCGTGCCAGTGACTGACTAGTGAGGGTTGAGGAGTTGTTGTGTGTTGTTCTTGTTTTGTATGTCGATCTCGGAGGAATGTTATGACGTGCAATAACTGTCTTTGTTTAAACAACACACATTTTATACTTTGGATGATAATTTTAGAATAATGTGATAGAAAGCGGTAGACGCAGAAATAATCCTATTTAACAATATGAATTTTTCCAAAGTATGATCGTGCCACAAGGAGTTATTCGTATAGTTAGGCGTTCGTATTGGTTAAGTTGTGTGAATATTGTGCCAATAATGAGATAGTGGAGTGGTGTGATGTGGTTGTGGGACATGTGGGGCGTGCTGTGGGTGGTGGAAACGGTGGTGCAGCTGGCGCCTGTGCTGGCGACGCCGCTAGACCCCGCGCTGCCAGTGTCGCAAGGTGAGAGGAGAGGAACCTTGTCGCCTACGTATTTGATGCCTTCGCACTGCTATTATTAACATTGCATGTTCACTTCCCCTGCCCATTCGGTTACCTTTAAACAAAAGTTTGTAAAATTGTTTTTAGTACTTAATCAATGTGTAAAAAAGTCCGAATACAAATATCTTAGCATGCAAAAAATTGTAGCTTTATTAATTTATAACTGGGTTGCAATTACTTTGTGTCTCTTAGAGGATGGTTTAGTTAGCAGCTAAAGTTTTTATTGCATGCAATTTTTTTTTGGTTGGTGTGGTGATGGATTAAGAATATGGAGTGTCACCACCCCTATTCATCCCGTGGGTGTCGTAAGAACCGACTAAGGGAGTAAACTATGCAGGACGACAACACTGCAAAGAGAAGGAAAACTTGACACAAACCCTATACCAACCCGCCCGGCCAGCATGGTATAGTAGGCCAAAGCTTCCTTTCTAAGGAGAGGCCTATGTCCAGCTGTGGACTAATAAAGGCTGTTGATGTAATATTTTTATTGAACTAATGTGATTGTAATGGTAAGTGGTATTTAATGGTTAACTAGTAGTATCATAACAATTTGTTGATTAAAACTGTGCTAAAATTGCTATGTCCAGACTGTGCATAAATTTACACATTATATTACTAATTTGTGATAAAACAATAATTATCAGTATAAATTCTCTAAGCCATTGCTTAAAAGATTCCGAACACAACTTTTTGCAAACTAATTATCAGACACAATAAAACTTATTTTATTATTTATTCTTTTTATTATTGGCATGTGTAGGCTGTACCATCAATAATGCTTCAAGCATTTTTTAACTATTTTTTTGTCATTTGAGGAAATTTCTGCTTAAAAATACTTGTTTGGTAACTTTTAAGAAAAGAAGATTCAGTTGTACATATATAAATAATGTGTGAATGCAGATATCAGAATCAAAAAGTTTTTTTGCCAATTACTTGTTGCTCCTAAATTTTATATGTGTAATATAAAATTATATTTTATTATATATATTATATTTTTCACTAAAATATTTTATTATTAATATTAAAAGAACACAATTTTGTTTTTTCATAATTTTAAGATAATGGCCGTGTAGTGTTTAGGGATGTAATATAAAATCACAATTACCTGTGATAAATCATATTTTTATAAAAATATAAATCTATAAAAATAAAAAAATTGGTGTGTGTTTCTAATATTAAAATATAGGTTTTATAATGCGCACATGTTTATATGCACAAAACCTATGCCTAAAATCCAGTTTAAATGCCCGGTCTGGGTATCGAACCTGTGGCCTCATACTACTACACTACTAAAGTAACCACGTGAACTAAGTCACGGTGGCCAGCTAGTATATAATATATTTTTATAATACTTAATATGAACTTAGACGCTAGCGCCAGACTTACGGAAGGTCCAAATAAAAAAAAATTGAAAGGCACAATCACAGGTGAGGGTAGTGCCTAAAATCAAACACTTCACCATGATTTATGACAAATTGTTTTTTTTTTTATTGATGATTTTTTTCCATGGTTTGAGACTGTTAGCCTAAAACAAATTACAATTGCCAAAGTTACTAAAGGTGACGGAAAACTTTAGTAATCCTATCAAAATGGAATTTGGTGTAGACAAGTGTGCAGTCATGTATGTAAAGAAGGGTGTGATAGTTGAATCTGAAGGAATAGAGCTTTCAGATTTAAAAAAAACTCAGATCTCTGTCTGCCACTAAAACTTACAAGTATCTGGGTATATCACAGTCGTTGGGAATACCAGAATCTAACATGAAACAAACATTGCAGGAACGCTTTTTTGGCCGCTTGAAAAAAGTACTTAAGTCTTTTATCAGGGGGCAACAAGGTGCGAGCCTGCAATGGTTGGGTCATGCCGGTTCTGATGTATTCCTTTGGTATACTTAGATGGTCTCAGACCGAATTAGATGCCCTTGACAGGAAAGTCCGTACACTGCTGACTGCATCCCGAATGCACCACCCACGTTCATCGGTTATGAGATTGTATATCCCGCGAAAGCTTGAGGGTCGCGGACTATTAAATATCAAGACCCCACATAATCGCGAGATATGCAATCTCGGAGAATATTTTCTACATACTGATGTGGGAGTGCATCGCAATGTAGTTGCAGTGGATACCGGATTCACCCCGCTCGCTCTGGCTAAAGAGAATTGGCGCAGACCTGTAGTACATAGTGTTAATGATCGCAGGGAAGTATGGAAGGGCAAAGAGCTCCATGGTCGGTTTTATCGGGCCCTAAACGGGTCCGATATAGATTTAAAAAAATCTACGACTTGGCAACGGTATGGTGATCTCTTCGGAGAAACTGAAGGTTTTGTTTGTGCGATTATGGATGAAGTTATCATGACGAATAACTATCGGAAATAAATCCTGAAAGATGGTACGGTTGACATCTGTCGGGCATGCCACCGTCCTGGCGAATCAATCAGGCATATTATTTCTGGTTGTTCTCGTCTTGCTAACGGCTAATATTTCCACAGGCACAACCAAGTAGCCAGGATCGTACACCAACAGCTTGCCCTGAAATACCATCTAAGGTGAATCTACAGGTATGTGGAAGACGCCACGTTGTATTATCACAGACAGGACTATTGTTGCCAATAAGCCTGATATTGTGCTGATAGATCGATTAGAGCGCCGCGCAATGATTGTTGATATCGCCGTTCCTCATGACGAGAATCTCGTGAAAGTTGAAAAAGAAAATAATAATAATAATAAAATATTTGGATTTATCTCACGAGATTGTCGATATGTGGAATGTCGATTCAGTGATAATTGTTCCGATAGTCGTATCTGCTCACGGATTGATAGCCAAGAGCCTCGACCAACACCTTAAGAGGTTCACGTTGGACGGCTGGATCAAGGGTTTGATACAGAAGGCAGCCCTCCTTGACACGGCTCGTATAGTGAGGAGGTTCCTATCTTTGCAGTCCTAACCACTGGTGTCTTGGTACCTGTACCCGATGTCGGTGGTCTACTATTTTTTATATTTTTAAATGTATTTTTATTTCTTTTGTAATATATTTAAAAATGTAATTAATATGTATATATAATTTAATAAAGAGAATAATAATAATAATCCCTTTATTCTGAATTAGTACATACAATATTAAACAGTTTAGAAGTTAAGTTTATAAAATATCTCTTAATTCAGAGTGCCTCTGGCATAAGCTTCCTCTAGCACTTTTCATTGGGTTCTGTCCCGTGCTACCCTTCTCCAGTGATGTCTAGCTGTTAGCCTCAGGTCATCTGCCCATCTCGCTTGTAGGGTAGATTTTTAACGTGTGGAAATCCCCTCGGACCGTCACCCCACCGGGGTGACCTGACTTAACCATATGATTATGATTTAAAAATAGCAATAATTGCCTTATCTAGTGTTACTTGCCATGAAATTATGTAGTTATAGGTATTTAACATTGGGTATGATTTTATCAATCACTACATAAATGTTTTTACAAATAAAATTCATTCCTAAAATAGTAGATCTATATTTATATATAATACTTAAATATAAGGTAATTCTTACTGGGCAATATTATCAGTTTTTTAAATATTATAACAGTAAATATAACTATATAAATAATATAACAATGTTTTTACAAATAAAATTCATTCCTAGAATAGTAGATCTATATATATATATAATACTTAAATATAAGGTAATTCTTACTGGGCAATATTATCAGTTTTTAAAATATTATAACAGTAACATTCCAGTTGTATATGTTGATACTGTTACTGACAAGCTAGGTATATATATTCTGTCTTAGCCAGTACAGTAAATTTATCAGATTTGATAAAGTGAGTTAGAATGAGCTCCTCAAGAAATGCAGTTACTCATAATACACATGCATGATTTAGTAAAGGTTAGAAATAAGTCTCAATTCATGTTTTAAGACATGTGTTGTAAGGTACAGTTTACCTAGGTAAAATATGTTTGGTTTGGTTTTTAAAACCCCCTCATACATTAGTGACTAAAATAAGGGATGAGAAATGTATGTATGTTTTTGAATGTTTTATACACCCTATGTTGTAGTACGATCAATCGAAAAAGTATTACACAACATGTCAATCTCACAAAACAGAGATCTCGTCAGATATCTTTCGTAAATCTCTATAAATTGCCATGAAAGACGATAATCCGGCGGCAATCGGGATGAAGCTCAAAGAGCTGAGGACGCTACCTGCCACTACATTAGTTAACGTTGCTTGTAGGAGTGTTCTCATTTTTTTTAATTGGGATTGTGACTCTGGCTTGTTAGATTTTCTGTTATAGGTACTAACCAGTAAGGTATTCAAGTTTATGTATACATATTATATTGTGTTTTCTAGTCATGTAAAACAGTTATATAAATTAACATTTTATGTAAATAAAGTTTGCTCAACAAGTAGATCTTTAAAGTAATAGGGAATGGTTAGATTGTTACTATGACATTAAAGAAATATGACATACAATCCATACTTGTAATACTATAAATACGAAACTCTGCCTGTCTCTCTGTTATTCTTTAATGGGTAAACATTTGAACCGATTTTAATAAAATTTGGCGTGGAGATACTGTGGGATACTTTCTTGAGGAAGGACATAGGAAACTTTTGTACCGACATACACATGGGCGCAGCCGCGGGCAACAGCTAGTTTTCAATGTATTTAAAAGTTGAATTTTAAGTTATAAATTATAGTAATTGGATTAAAACTTGTACTGTAATATGCGCTTGCGCAGAGTATGCCGACGACACCGACACACGATCCGCGTCGGTGCGGTAAACGAGGGGCACATCGGTTGCATAACAAGCGGGCGCTGTGGCATCCGGCTAACGGGACAGCGGTGTGAGGGGGGCTTCTGTACAAACCACCTTCATGTCTAGACGAGCTATTCGTACCTGGACAGTTTTTACACTACCTACGAATGTTACGTGTATCTAAACTAACGTTTGCCTGCGGCTTGACTTGCGGTAACGTGATTTTGTAATTCAATTCTGGTCCACGATCGTCTAAAAGCTACTTTTCTA